AGATAATGTGATCCTTCCTGTGTCAGAGAGACTTTGGGGAGTAGATAATGTGATCCTTCCTGTGTCAGAGACTGGGGGAGTAGATAATGTGATCCTTCCTGTGTCAGAGAGACTGGGGGAGTAGATAATGTGATCCTTCCTGTGTCAGAGAGACTGGGGGAGTAGATAATGTGATCCTTCCTTTGTCAGAGAGACTGGGGGAGTAGATAATGTGATCCTTCCTTTGGCAGAGAGACTGGGGGTGTAGATAATGTGATCCTTCCTTTATCAGAGAATGGGGGAGTAGATAATGTAATCCTTCTGGTGTTCATGGCTTAGTAAGTGGTGATGGAGAGTAGCTTGATGTAATATATTCTGTGTCAACTCTCCAGGGACATTGGAGAAATTTGATGATCAAAACATGTGGAGGAACCTATCATTGAGCCCTTGGTGTATAGGAACTTTTTTGTCTCCCCTATAGGAATGCTTTATTGAATGTGTCTCAGGCCAGCCTGCAGCAGATTTGAAAACCAATCCTAGCCCTCCTCATATCTTCATAGCAAATAATAAAATTCCATTGCAATGGGCCTCAGGCTTATTGTAGTATCTTTAACATACAAAGCATACACAGTCATGGTTAACTCTTAAATTAATTTTGTGAGACTTGATTCATAACGTAAATGTAATAAGGATCTATATTTTTCTAAATCCTTTCAAGTAAGTTTTAGTCAATCAAATTAAAGTGAAATAATTTGTGTTCAAAACGTTTTGTATCCTGTTTGCTGGTAATGTTTTGATGTTATTTTTTTGTTAGATCTTTGATATAAAACACTGTCAGCAACTAATATTGCCTCCAAATCACTTCAGATAAGCTTGCTGTGAAGCTTTGCAGACTGCTTTGATTTTAAGCATTTCACAAAATTATTCAAGAGGTTAGAGTCATTCATAATGTACTGTTGTTCAATCCTACAACAGGTTGGAGTTTCATAATGTACTGTTGTTTTATCCTATGTACTAAATGTACTACTGCTCAATATATATCACTGGTCATGTGGTCAATATTTATCACTGACTGGTCATGTCATCAATATAGATATCTGGATGGTCAACTGGTCAATATATGGTTATTGACAGACCATTCAATATTTATGACTGACTTGACAGACAGTCAAGATAAAGGTAAACTTCCTACTGCTAAGACGGTCAATATATATCACTGATTGGTCATGTGGTCTAGATTTATCATTGACTTGTCAAGTGATAAGTATTCAACATTGACTTGTTAAGTGGTCAGTATTCACCATTGACTGGTCAAGTGGTCAGTATTTATCATTGACTTGTCAAGTGGTCAGTATTTATCCTTGACTGGTCAAGTGGTAAATATTTATCATTGACTGGTCAAGTGGTCAATATTCATCACTGATATTTCAAGTGATCAGTATTCATCATTGACTGGTCAAGTGGTCAGTATTCAGTATTCATCATTGACTGGCCAAGTGATCAGTATTCACCATTGACTTGTTAAGTGGTCAGTATTCATCATTGACTTGTCAAGTGATCAGTATTCATCATTGACTGGTCAAGTGGTCAGTATTCATCATTGACTGGCCAAGTGATCAGTATTCACCATTGACTGGCCAAGTGATCAGTATTCATCACTGATTTTTCAAGTGGTCAGTATTTATCATTGACTTGTCAAGTGGTCAGTATTTATCCTTGACTGGTCAAGTGGTAAATATTTATCATTGACTGATCAAGTGGTCAATATTCATCACTGATTTTTCAAGTGATCAGTATTCATCATTGACTAGTCAAGTGGTCAGTATTCATCATTGACTGGCCAAGTGATCAGTATTCACCATTGACTTGTTAAGTGGTCAGTATTCATCATTGACTTGTCAAGTGATCAGTATTCATCATTGACTGGTCAAGTGGTCAGTATTCATCATTGACTGGCCAAGTGATCAGTATTCACCATTGACTTGTCAAGTGGTCAGTATTCATCATTGACTGGCCAAGTGATCAGTATTCACCATTGACTTGTTAAGTGGTCAGTATTCATCATTGACTTGTCAAGTGATCAGTATTCATCATTGACTGGTCAAGTGGTCAGTATTCATCATTGACTGGCCAAGTGATCAGTATTCACCATTGACTTGTTAAGTGGTCAATATTCATCACTGATTTTTCAAGTGATCAGTATTCATCATTGACTTGTCAAGTGGTCAGTATTCATCATTGACTGGTCAAGTGATCAGTATTCATCATTGACTGGTCAAGTGGTCAGTATTCATCATTGACTGGTCAAGTGGTCAGTATTCATCATTGACTTGTTAAGTGGTCAGTATTCATCACTGACTTGTCAAGTGGTCAGTATTCATCGCTGACTGGTCAAGTGGTCAGTATTCATCATTGACTTGTCAAGTGGTCAGTATTCATAAGTGAATGCCTGATGCTGATTGGTCATTATATTTATTACTGAAGATCATTCTAACTTCAAATAAAAAAATTATTTCAAATCCAAGGATTTGTCATTGATGGGTTCCTGCATATGTTTGTAGCTTTTTGTGTTGTAAATCTGTTTTAAAAAACTTTGATGTCAGTCATTGTTCTTCTGTCATATTATAGAAGTTCATTTAAGTGATGTTCTTAATGAATATTACAACCACAGGTAAGAAACAGTTACATACAGGTAATGTGTACATGGTTACATACAGGTAACATGTACATGGTTACATACAAGTAATGTGTACACAGTTACATACAGGTAACGTGTACATGGTTACATACAGGTAACAAACACAGTTACATACAGGTAACATGTACATGGTTACATACAAGTAATGTGTACACAGTTACATACAGGTAACATGTACATGGTTACATACAAGTAATGTGTACACAGTTACATACAGGTAATGTGTACATGGTTACATACAGGTAACATGTACAGTTACATACAGGTAATGTGTACACAGCTACATACAAGTAAATGTACAGTTACATAGAGGTAACATGCACATGGTTACATACAGGTACATGTACATAGTTACATACAAACAACATCTACATAGTTACATACAAACAACATAAACACAGTTATAAACAAGTAACATGTACACAGTTGCATACAGATATAAACATTCAAATAAAAATTGTTAGTTGATTTCCCTTTGAAAATTCTCCATTTCAGTGTATAGATGCTCCATCATTTTTTACATAATAGTATTGCCAGCATATCATATCAATGTCATGGTTGGGATACATTCCCTTACCATCCACATTTTGCTTTCTATTCACCCATATTTGCCACATGCAATGCATTATGTTTTTTTTGTTGACTATGATCACTTAAAAAATCTCTCCAACTCTTGTGTCAGGAACCTGTCTGTTTCTTAAACTTAATGTTGAATGGTCTTCATAAATTATTTTACTTTTTAAATATGAATAACTATGCATCATGTCTGTTACATATCTATTACAATGTCTACTTCTCTTTCTACTTACTTTCTACTTTCACTTTCTACTTTCACTTTGATTTTCAACTGCTACAGACATACATGTATGAAGCATTTTGATTAATGGTGTTATGTATTGACTTTATATTGTGCATTTTTGATATGAAATAGACAAATATATCCAGGAATACAGTTAATGTAAAATGGTGAATTCTATGTGTATGTGTTATTTGGCGATAACATCTACACTATTCCCTGGTGTATATAGTGAAACCTGACTTATCTAACATTTCCAGTGTAAGTTTGTATTCACTTACTCAACATTTGATCGTCAAATATTCCAAATCATTTTATTCTCTAACATTTAACTGTCAAGAGGAAATATCTATCTGCAATAACATCATATTACAAACATCAAAAGGAACATTTATTCAGATTAACAAAAGATAATTTTGAAGTCATATTTTAGATTTCAGCAAGTGTCTGCAGTTTTTACATTATAAATTTGAAAATTTTCACAAATTTCTTCTTACAAGATAAAGCTGGATTCAGAGACATATGAATTTGAATTTAGATAAAGAAATGAACTATCAAAGACAGGAAAAAAATTACTATATAGCCAGTTATTTTCAAGGGTCAGAAATTTAGCAATCTTGATATAAGAATTAGAAAATTAAAATTTATGTGACAAAATTTGACAATCTGAATATTAGAGTATGTATTATTTATGCAAGTCTTGTTTCTGATGTTTTCACAAGCACCAGTATGATTGAATGAGATTTGATAAAGAGTTATGTTTCTAAACACAAATATTCAATAAACCCAGCTGCACTTTAAATCACTGATGAAATTCGCACATCTTTTCTTTTTTTTTTTTTTTTAATAGATAAAATTTTTGCTCTGACATAGATTTCTCACAATATAGCAAAAGATTTCTCACAATATAGCAAAAATAAAATTCCCAATGAAAATAACTGGCTCTACAGTCCAGCTTTTATCAGTATAAGGCAAGTTTCATTTATGTGAAGTCATCTTACAAACTGGTCTCACCAGTATCATATATAGATGTAACTGGAGACGTGTACTGTAGCTATGATATATAGGTGTAATTGGAGATTTGTAGTACATAATGATATAAACTCTGGTGTGGTTATAACACTTAAATTGATGTTAATTAGAAGAAATCCCTACCATTCCCATTTATACTGTAAAGGATGTATAAGATTTAAGTGAAATTACTTCTGTTTTCAATCATTGTTTTTTGTAGTGAAATTTATTAGGCAATAAAGAAACGTCAGTTCTTGCTTAAAATTTTAGAGTGACATAAAACACTTAAGCTGTCAACAGATATTGATATTTTTGTTTTTTGTTTTTGTTTTATTAGAGGACTGATATATATGATTCAAGTAAAGAAAGCTTGATATTGAACAAAGATAGTAATGCAAATGTATGGTACTTCAAGAAAAATTATCATTACTTTTTGTATGTTTGATGTACACATGATGTAATGTTATTTTGATACAAATCAGTACTTCTGTTAAATATGCTGTGCTAACTTTGCAGGGAGAGACATATAATTACAAAGAAGCGATCATTCTAGCCACCTTCAAAGTAGATGACAGCCTGTTGACGAAAGAAACACAACTGAAGCGAGGCGACAAGGTATCAGTCTCATCGTAGATAAGAGTGGGCAGGCCTGTTTGTCCAGTCAAGCATTTTCTAGTTTCTGTGTCTAGTTAAGAATTTCCATAACACTTTTTGTACTTAGAATTGTACTACAAGTTGCCTATGTCCGGCAGAGTCAGCGAAATTGTTTATATTCAAATAGAGCTTTATGTATCTTATGTATCTCAGGCCTGTTAGTAGTTAAACATTTATCTGTCAGTCAGGTGACAACTGATGTAGGCTTGTTAGTAGATAAACATTTATTTGTCAGTCAGGTAGACAACTGATGTAGGCTTGTTAGAAGATAAACATTTATCTGTCAGTCAGGTGACAACTGATGTAGGCTTGTTAGTAGATAAACATTTATCTGGTTAGTCAGGTGACAACTGATGTAGGCTTGTTAGTAGATAAACATTTATCTGGTCAGTCAGGTGACAACTGATGTAGGCTTGTTAGTAGATAAACATTTATCTGGTCAGTCAGGTCAACAACTGATGTAGGCTTGTAAATAGATAAACATTTATCTGTCAGTCAGGTCGACAAATGATGAAGGCTTGTTAGTTGCTAAACATTGAAATTCCAGAGCAGTGTTATATTATAATTTTTTGTCTTATGGTAACTTCATATGTGGATGACATCAATAATGCTATGTAAATAAAAATTGATTACTTTCAGTGAAACAATGGGTAGTTACGTATTACAGAGTAGTAATATGTTATAACTGTTATATAACATTTGATAATAATTTAACCCATAATTGAATATAAGAATGATACTATGCTTTTAATTTGCAGTGGAATTGTCCATTCATCATGGTGAAGAAAGAAAACAAATCAGCATACACATTCTATGCCAAAACAGAAGATATGCGATTAAAATGGATAGACGCCATCAAATTAGCCTTGTGAGTAGATCACTGTCCAAATACTACTAGTCGGGGAGAAATAACCGTCATATACACATGATCCTGTGTCAGGGAGTAGATCACTGTCCAAATACTACTAGTCAGGGAGAAATAACAGTCATATACACATGATCCTGTGTCAGTGAGTAGATCACTGTCCAGCTTCTACTTGTTGAGAAATAACAGTCATATACACATGATCCTGTGTCAGTGAGTAGATCACTGTCCAGCTTCTACTTGTTGAGAAATAACAGTCATATACACATGATCCTGTGTCAGTGAGTAGATCACTGTCCAGCTTCTACTTGTTGAGAAATAACAGTCATATACACATGATCCTGTGTCAGTGAGTAGATCACTGTCCAGCTTCTACTTGTTGAGAAATAACCGTCATATACACATGATCCTGTGTCAGGGAGTAGATCACTGTCCAAATACTACTAGTCGGGGAGAAATAATGGTCATATACACATGATCCTGTGTCAGTGAGTAGATCACTGTCCAAATACTACTAGTCGGGGAGAAATAACGGTCATATACACATGATCCTGTGTCAGTGAGTAGATCACTGTCCAAATACTACTAGTCGGGGAGAAATAACGGTCATATACACATGATCCTGTGTCAGTGAGTAGATCACTGTCCAAATACTACTAGTCGAGGAGAAAATAACGGTTATATACACATGATCCTGTATCAGAGAGTAGATCACTGTCCAGCTTCTACCTGTCGAGAGGATGGCGGGAATTATGGTCATATACACACAGTCCTGTGTCATTATTAGTTCACTGTCCAGGTCCTAATTTTACAAGAAGCCCTTGTATTAGTGTTAAGAATTATATCACCGGTGTCTGGGAACCAAAACAGGCCAAATCTGTGTTGTTCCTTGTCAGACAATAATAGGCATTATCTTTCATTCTGATTATATTCTTCCCTCATTGTAAATGGTACTTACTGGATGGTCTGCAAGTGAATAGAGACACAATATCAAAATGTCTAAACCAAAATGGCTGACATGGCTTCTGTTTGGCTGATATTCATGGTATAATTTCTCACCTGTGAAACGCTTCCTTTGTTTTTATATCTTGTGTGATCAATACTTCATCAGCTTATGTTTTTTTAACAGATATTTTAACTATATTACAATAATTTTTTCTGCTTGTTAAATTTGTTATTTTTACCTTGCAGAGAAAACACACAGCCTCCAGATCACCCAAACTTTGTGATGCATACGTTTGACAAGCCAACAGAGTGTTATGTGTGTTCAAAACTTTTACGGTATGAAAATGGATCCGCCTGTTGTGAATTATTCCAGGATGAATGAAGACTGTGTTATTTTAAACAGATTAACCATTCACAACTCTATAAATCTCTGTAAAACATATGAAGAGTTTCGAGGTCAACAATCCACATATTCAACCTGCTCTGTTAGTTTTACTGTTAAATGTCTTGGATACTGAAAAGGTTTACATTTTAGGGGTAATCTTATTTTAGTGCTCAAAATAATCCACCAAGATATATTTAAGGAAAATGCATTTTTCATATTTTAGGATGATTTTATGGCAGTTATTGTGCATATTCATTTTTGTGTTAATTTGTTAAAACTTGATATCATGCTGAACTTTGACCACCTCAAAATAAGTACATCACTGTGTTTATTTTAGGTAGACTGCAAATGAAAAGAGTTTGTTAATCCAGTGACACAGCGCTTCATCTTAAATAATGCATACTATTAGATGGGGGCCTATTATCAAAAATTATGTGTGTTCTATGATAGTGAGCACCTGTCTCTCCTGAATTTCTGTAATTGTGTATTGGACCATAAAACAAAAATTACAATATCTGGATGGCCATTGTTTTACCTGCTCACTGGGGTTATTATTGGAATTAAGGTGAAAGACTTTGAAGTTAGATTGAAATGGATACATAAAGAGTAAAGATGACCTTAATAACTTCCTACTGGGTGGATCAGCTTTAATTGAGAGTGTTGACTAGATATGCTACCATCAGAAATAATACTGTACACTGTACTTGGATTGGACAGCTTTTGCTGATCGATGTGTGACAGAACTGTTATTAATAAAACATGTGTATGGTCAGCATTTGAACTTTATAAAGATAGGTTAATCTGTACCTGTTAGGTAATGAAGATGTATCTGGTTAGTAGGTATAGTGTCTATGGAATAGTCACTTAGGTATTTAGTGTCAAACACCCTTGCTAAACTGTCCACCCCAGGGTATTGATATCTTCAGCAAGGTGGATCACAAAAAATACTCAAATAATTTCTAGAGGTTTGTAAAAACCAAATATATTACAGGTAATTTTAATTACCAATGATGTTTGTTATTTCAGAGGTGTGTTTTTCCAGGGATATTGGTGCCAAGGTAAGAATATGTGTGTGTCTGAATATACACTCCAGAGTATTACAGGAACAAATTGCAAATTTTAGCGGTATTATGCTTCACTGATGGAGGAAAATGACATGTTAAATAACTTACAATTTACTTTGGGAAGAATGTCTTAGATTTGAAGATAAATGATGAAATGATCAGCAAATTTACCGACATTGTTATTTTATGAATATGTTAAAAGTCTGTCTGGACTTGATCAAAAGTGGCCATCAACATTGATATCTGTATGGACTTGATCAAAAGTGGCCATCAACATTGATATCTGTATGGACATGATCAAAAGTGGCCATCAGCATTGATATCTGTATGGACTTGTTCAAAAGTGGCCATCAACATTGATATCTGTATGGACATGATCAAAAGTGGCCATCACCATTGATATCTGTATGGACATGATCAAAAGTGGCCATCACCATTGATATTGGTGCATAAGTTTAGCAACTATTTCATTGATTTGTTGATCAATACTGCTAGGTAAGCAAAGTGATTTTGAGATTTATGATAGTTTAAGGTCAAAGTAATTCAGGTGTGGCTGTTCAGGTAAAATGCTTATATCAATCATGGTATACATATGATTTGTTACTATATAGGTGAAATAAGTGTGTGCTTATATTATTATATTATTATATTAAGGTATACATATGATTTGCCTTGACTTATGGACTAGATGAACAAGTGAAATAAGTGTGTACAAAATCTGGACATTTGATATGTCCAGAACAATAGATTGACATTTGATATGTCCTGAACAATAGATTGACATTTGATATGTCCAGAACAATAGATTGACATTTGATATGTCCTGAACAATAGATTGACATTTGATATGTCCTGAACAATAGATTGACATTTGATATGTCCAGAACAATAGATTGACATTTTATATGTCCTTAACACTAGATTGACATTTGATATGTCCTGAACAACATGTTTTGGTAGACTTTCTTGTGGTCTCTATAGAATAGAATGTAAATATTTCAAATCCAGTCAAATGAAAAATCTTTTCTTTACATCAGTATATGGTAAACCAATATAACATCAGCTCTACTGAGTTATTACAATATCTGATACCTGTTTTAATTACAGAAAAGAAACATGGTGTTCACAAAGAATGTATAGGAAAGGAAAGAGAAAGAGGTAAGGTATCTCTCTCCATTTGATTTGTCCTTCTTTAGTGTTTTTGTCATGTCTGCATAATAACCAGTTATAGCTGTGTAATCTTCATTAAGTTTACAGTTCTAATATTTTTTTTCTTTATTTTGCACACTGAGTGAAACAAATATTGACTTTTGCACCGTTGTGTATTGCGTTCTTGTGTATCTGACAAAATTCTAGTTAAAATGGGATACAAACAATACTGTTCAGTTAATCAGTTTCTATTGTGAATGATGTAGAGGAAATGTATTAATATAAGCTGAGGTTTCATTTAGAAAACCTTAATATGTCTGTGAAATAGATATTTATAACTAAAATATGGAACAAAACCATATTGAAATAGGGAACATTCTATCAGGTATTTTATCATGCTCTTTTGAGCATCATCAAGTCTGCCTGCATTCAAATTGACAAATATTGACTATCAACAGAGGTCAGAAAAAGTGTTTCAGAATATTCAAAGACCCTGACTTGAAAACTTGACTGTTCATTAAATTTGCATCTTGGACTATTGAACACATTACGTGTACTCTTAGGCAGTGCCTATGTAACGTTATAGTCATTTTACTACAAGTTACATAATCATATAGTCAGAGAGAAGTTTATGTCAGAAAATATTATTGTACAGCGAGTTATTATCATACAGCAAGTTACATAATCAGTCAGAGAGATGTTTACATAGACATTCATTATGGTAGAGGGAGTTACATATCGTAATCAGAGTCAGAGAGATGTTTACATAGACATTCATCATGGTAGAATGAGTTACATATCATAATCAGAGTCATAGAGATGTTTACATAGACACTTCTCATGATACAATGAGTAACATAATCAGAGTCAGAGAGATGTTTATAAAGACATTTACTATGGTAGCATGAGTTACATAATCAGAGTCAGAGAGATGTTTACATAGACATTCATTATGGTAGAGGGAGTAACATATCATAGTCAGAGTCAGATAGATGTTTAAATAGACATTCATTATGGTAGAGGGAGTTACCTATCGTAATCAGAGTCAGAAAGATGTTTAAATAGACACTTCTTATGATACAATGAGTTACTTAATCAGAGTCAGAGAGATGTTTACATACACATTCATTATGGCAAAGGGAGTTACATATCATAGTCAGAGTCAGAAAGATGTTTGAATAGACACTTCTTATGAAACAATGAGTTACATAATCAAAGTCAGAGAGATGTTTACATAGACATTTATTATGGTAAAGGGAGTTACATATCATAATCAGAGTCAGAGAGATGTTTACATAGACATTTATTATGGAAGAGGGAGTAACATAATCAGAGTAATGTTGGTATATTATGGTGATGTCACTAATCTGACTGAGAGATTTGTTGATTTTCTGTCACAGGAGCCGGTGCTTCAGGTAGATTTTTTCTATATCATTTATCCTGCTGCCTACCTGCTGACAGTCTTTATTTAACAGTGATTTTCTGGAATGAATTTTCTCTTTATCTTGACTCAGATTTTATAATTAAGTAACAAAGAATATATATCTGTGATATGAGTTACAGAAAATTCAGATATCTGAAAATATAGATGATGAAGAATTAATCAGAAATTTTCTGTAGCCAACCTTTCAGTTTTAAACATGATCTGTTCTTCAAAGTCACTGATTAAATGATTACTGGTTTGATGACTGGCAAAACTGTGTATCATATGAATGCTTGAGTGTCTGGCTGTGGAGGAATGTCAGTTCTCCTTATGTAAATGCTCTAGGGGATGTTTGTTGGTGTTTACATTACCAATTCTTTCTATGTAACTAATCAAGGGGATGGGGTGGGGTTGGGGGTCGATAATACCCTACCAAATTTGGTCAGTGTGCCACTTCCCTCCATTTAAATACCCTAGAGGATGGTGGTTAGTGTAACTAACTGTATAAGATATATCTACCGTCTTTCCCAGGGTCCATCTACTACACTAGTGCTACTTGTCACGAGAACTTTATACTTTGGGTATGGGTTTATCTTGTTGAGGCAGTGGCCCGTGTAACTGACCTACATTTTACCCTTTGACCTACATCCAATAAATTTGGGCTTTATCTCCTATACTACTAGTCACTGGAACTCATGATTTGGGTAAAGGTACACATCTTAAAGGAAACTTTCTCAAGCTCGTCTTAACTATTATTTAACTTTTACCCAAAATTTCTTATTGCATTTTGCTTTCAGCAGTTGCTTTGTGTTCTTGCTATTTTCTAAGCTTAATTACATGATTTTGGTTCTTTTGAACAAGACAGCTTCTAGTGAATAGCTAAACATATTGTATATTAGAACAAGCATGGATGATCACTTCCCGTGTAGCTTAGGTATGGTGCTACAACTGGACTCTGTGAATGTCAATGGATATTTGATGGTATTTAATTATGTTTATGGGAAAGTTTATAAACTGATTCAATATTATGTAAAAGAAAATAAGAAACAGAATATGTAGTTCTTACGATTTATTAAGATTTGTGTATTAAGAGAAACCTCCAGTAGATCGACATCATGGTATTACTTGGCATTAAACAATGTGTTTCTATGTTACAGTACCACCGATCCCTCCGCGAGTTGTTGGTAAGTTATTTTTCAGTAATCCTAACTTGAACGGTGTGTCCTGTTTACACTTTGACAAAGCTGTGGGTATGGCTTGTAGATAATATGTTAATATACAGCCACTTCTGGAATCAGCAGTACTGTTATTGATACTTACGAATTATAGTTTCAATATCAACATGACAGAAGTTATAAACAGCTCACCTATAAAAATACTTTTTATACTGATAACAAATTTCTTTATCTAAATGCCATACTAAACTAAAATAGGTACACGTTTGCATTACTCAGATCGAGTGCTTTCAAGGTTTGTTTTGCATGTAATTAACAGTTTGACCTGAGGTTATTAACTGTGACTGATCTCCACTTAACAAGTGATTATCAGTCACTTTTTTGTCACGAGTACTGGGTATATCAATGCATTGTGCAAAGGATCTGTTTCATTTTTACAGAACTGAAAGAGTCACGGAGACTCAGTAAGTTTCTTCAGCATGCTAGCTTGGTTTGACACTGCTGCTAGCCCCAACCTTATCCACCATTTTTGCACTTGATCATACTGTGTCAATGATTTCTCAGACTCTTATGTTAGCTTTTACAGAATGCTGCTGTGTCAGGGCAACCATTCCTTATCCCCAGAGTAGGAAGTTTCATTTGAATACTATGTTACTATGTTATATTTTCAGTTTTTCATTGTTTTGTGATGTTGCTATGACATCTTACAGTTACACAAGTGAGACAAACACGGTTGAAGTGATGTCATCTGTGTGATTGCTGAATGTAGCTGATTTCCTTTTACAATTTAAAACCTTCATCTGTAGCAGACTCTATTATCAACTTTCAGTGAAATTGGCTGTGTCCCACCCTCTCCATTTTCTTTTTCTCACTGGTATGTCCTTTCACTGTTTCTGTATTCCAACAGTGTCTTCCTGTCCTGTTTTTGTATTCCACCAGACTCCCCCTGGCCTATATTGGTATCTGCCCCTGTCCTGTATCAGTATCTGCCCCTGTCCTGTCCCTGTCCTGTATCAGTATCTGCCCCTGTCCTGTATTAGTGTCTGCCCCTGTCCTGTATCAGTATCTTCACCTGTCCTGTATCAGTATCTGCCCCTGGCCTGTATCAGTATCTGCCCCTGTCCTGTATCAGTATCTGCCCCTGTCCTGTATCAGTATCTTCACCTGTCCTGTATCAGTATCTGCCCCTGTCCTGGATCAGTATCTTCACCTGTCCTGTATCAGTATCTGTCCCTGTCCTGTATCAGCATCTTCACCTGTCCTGTATCGGTATCTCACTAGTGTCTCCTTGTCCTGCTTCTGTATTCCATCAGTCTGTCCTAGGCCTCAGTCCATCCCAGGCCTATATCAGTATCTGCCCCTGATCTGTATCGGTATCTCACCAGTGCCTTCCCTGTCCTGTTTCTCAATCTTAAAAGTGTCCCACTTACACTGTCCTGTATCTGTTCCCAGCTGCTGTATCCCTGTCCCTTACCAAACAATTTGGATCTGCAATGATTTTTCTTTTGACTGATGTCAGGCCATTTTTCAGTTATAATGTGTTGAAACAGAATTTTATAATAAGAGCTTTTGATAAATACACTAATTAAAGATATAAATGTAGCATGGCCTTACTTATCATGGTTGTACTAAAGCCTTATCGCTGAATTTTATTTTAATCTAAGTCATTGAAGTTGTGTAGGGCATGTCTTTTATACTATAATACCCAGAATTAACATTGATATAAAATTATATACATACATGGTAGATGTGGAAGTACCACATTTATTTATTAAAATACCACCATATCTCTAAGGGTTTTCAGAGAGTTTCCATATTTGGTACGGAAAGATATTGTCATATAAGCTTTGATGGTTGTATGTTGTACAGTATTTATACATCAGTGAAGGCTGCTGTGTTACCTGTGTGCATCTTGACTTTCAGGCTCAATTATCTTTACATATTTGGTGTGGGGTGTGTTACGGTCAATATGACCTGTATAACCTGAAATGTATGAATATTTTAATCTCAAATTTGGGTTGTGTTGGCATCATAATGTTTCAGACATCAGTGGCAGGTGTTGGTAAACTGGTTTTAATGCACACATTGGATCTGAAACAAGATTACTTTTCTTTGGGAGGAATTCCATTTTCAAATAAATTCTTACACTGATAAAAATGTCATTGATACATCAAATTTGTGTAAAAATTTAAAGCTGAATCTTAAATGTGATGTTTTTATGGTGTCACACGTGACTGATTATGCAGAAATTTTTAACAGACAGCATCACAGTTCTAATAGGTATATGTAGCTATTTTATTGAAGAAAAGATTATCACAACCTTTCATTCTACTTAAACTTTTCTTTCATCTGCTGTTAAATCTGTAGCTTTGAATGCATAAAACCAGCATGGATCTCGTTGGTAATGTTTTAATTTTCCAAATAATAGTGATAAAGTATGTCCAGAGGTGGAACATTTTGAGATTGTCTTCAATTCTGAGGTCGGTATGATGAAGTTGTATATTTTTGTTACACTGTAGGATTTACACTGACAGTTACACTAATAATACACTTGTTTTTGTATACAGGTCGGGTAAAGGCACTCTGTGATTACATAGGACAGCCATCTCCTGGAGCAGGAAGACCTGTTCTATCATTTCGGAAAAACACGCTTATAGATATTATCAACAGTACAGACCCACAATGGTGGAAGGTAGGTTCATGTTTAGCACTTTCTTCAGAGAATGTGTTTTTAGGTTTTTTTCTCCAATTTCATTCGTTTCAATGTATAGTATTTAAAATTCATGCTTTTTGTTGTTGATGAGTATAGTAGAAAATACAATATTCTAATACCGTAGGTCACCATTTTTATTATCTATTATTTTTTCGCAGTAAATATCATGTGATCACCTGAAAAATATTAATTGATCTGGCACCTCAAAAAAATGGAGAACAAAGTCTTTTTAATTGGGCTCTGTTCATGAAAATGAGACAATTGTACTCTTTAACTTTACTTACCTCACACAGGGCAAGACAGAGAATATGGAGGGCTGGTTCCCCCAACACTTAGTGAAAGAAGAAAAGGTAAGAATCCTCTTAATACCTAGGTGTTATATAAAACGTAATGAATAGTTTAATATCTGGACTTCCTGTTTTTTTATACATAGTATTAATTAGTACTGATTTTCTTTGAGGTATTTTCTGCAAATATGAAGTATACAAAGATTATGACTATAGTTACCTGCACTGTTACAGCTAAATGGGCTTGTTTGGCTGAATCTGGAATTCTATAACCTCTTTCACTGGTAGGTGGAATCGTGTGGTAGCAGTGTGGCATGGTGTTCTGCTGCTGCAATGTCACCCTTACGTCTGACTACTGAAAACCCTAAAACTACGTTATTGTCAACATTTAGGCAATCTTTGTTGTAACTGGTTTGTGATTGGACATAAAATTTGCAGTGCCATTTTCACTTTTAAAGTTTAGTTTATCCTTCCATATATTAAAAAAAATTACTTTTGCTAGTTTTTGAAGATCAGTATTTGGGACAAGTTTTAAAGCACACTCTTCATGACAATCGTTACTGTTGATATATAGATAGTGTCATAGCTTAAGAAGGTAATATCATATTAAATACCTTTGGCATTCTTCTTCATTTACATAGAGAACAAAAAAGTCAAATACTTTAAAAAATATGAAAGTTTTGATCAGGATTCTGCCTGACTCTTGAAAACCTGCAATTTGACTTGTTAAATTAGCAAAGGACCGTAAAATTGATATAGTTTTACATCATATCATATGTGATTCGAGTCCCTGGACTGATATATTCATAAAATCTGAGGGTCCCAGGGAAAACCCTGTTTATACTGTATAGTTTTAAATTTTGCCGGACTTTTATTTCATGGTTGTCTGTTCTGAGCTTATTTTTGGAGGTCGCATATGTCTATGTAAGGTAACATTTTTTTAGAATTTATTGTATATGTGTGCTGGGGATATGATTTCACGATGTGAATAAATTAAATCTGATGCAAGTATATTACCAGTACTATCAGTATGGATATTAGTGTCATCATGTTATAACACAGCATGGTGTTTGACCAGACCTCCCTGGATAAATAAGAGCATGTATGTATATATAACTGATGCATGCATGTCTTAATTTACACACTGTTTGATTATGCTGCTTCTGTTAAAATTTACAAATCCAAGTGTTGCATTGAAATGCACACATCTTTTTGTACAGATTTTGTTGTCACAAAACAGTATTTCAAGCTGGTATGATGGTGAATTAGCTATGCCCAATTGAAGGTGTTATTTTTCAGATTTAACTGGATGGAGAGACCCAACTTAGTGGTGTCCCTTTCAGAATATGTAGATCTTCCATGGTTTACCTTATAGATAATTTAAAAGATCAATAATATTGATTGATTTTCTGTATAAAGGATACTCCATGATTTCTCCACCAGAATAGTGGTTTCCTGAATGTGAAGAAAGTATTCTGTGATTTTTCCTATAAAAGATGTATATATTGAGGGTAGTCCATGTTTCCCCATATAAAATGCATGTTAAGGATATTTCAGGATTCATCATATGAAACATATGTGGATTATATTCAAATGTTTCTCATTGAATATGCTAATATAGAGGATATTCAAATGTTCCTCATTAAATATGCTAATATAGAGGATATTCAAATGTTCCTCATTGAATATGCTAATATGGAGGATATTCAAATGTTCCTCATTGAATATGCAAATATAGAGGATATTCAAATGTTCCTCATTGAATATGCTAATACAGTTGTCAAGCGTAAAAGTGGGAATAACTTAAAACAAACAAAATTCTAAAATGTGATTTTTTTAATCCTCACAGAGAAAGAGGTCTGTCGATCTAAAATGTGGGTGTACAATGATTAAAGGTATTCTGTAGAAAGGTATTTCATATTAAGTCTGGCAGAACAATTATAAAAGTGATGTGTTGTGTATCTTGTCTGTAACAGCTCATGCGGAAGGATTCCTATGTGGACGTACAGATAAACGAGAATGGACGAGTAACATCACCTCCACGGCCCCACACCCACGGGGGTGAGGGATATGTCAACATAGAGGACAGGGGTCTCACAACATACAAGTGGTAGGTAGAGTGGAGATATGCCCCAGGGGCACTCTCAGGGGTAGTTTAATCAGCATAGAAGACAGGGTTAGGTGAAATGGAGACATGCCCTGGAGTGACTACCAGGGGTAGGTGGAGTGGGGACATGTCCTGGAGTGACTATCAGGGGTATGTAGAGTGGGGACATGCCCTGGAGTGACTACCAGGGGTAGGTAGAGTGGAAACATGTCCTGGAGTGACTACCAGGGTTAGGTAGAGTGGAAAGATGTCCTGGAGTGACTACCAGGGTTAGGTAGAGTGGGGACATGTCCTGGAGTGACTACCAGGGGTAGGTAGAGTGGAAACATGTCCTGGAGTGACTTCCAGGGGTAGGTAGACTGGAGACATGCCCTGGAGTGACTACCAGGGTTAGATAGAGTGGGGACATGTCCTGGAGTGACTACCAGGGATAGGTGGAGTGTAGACATGCCCTGAAGTGACAGGGTAAGGATTTAATTGGTCTGCATTTGATTACGAAAATAAGAAAAATAGTTAGCTATGATGTTATCGCGGACAATTCTGTAATGTAGAAAGTTTGTCAAATGATGTGCTGTATATTTAAATGATAAATGTTCTGTTTTATTCTGTAACCGGTGCTGCCATTTTCGGAATATACCTGCAACATCTATTTTCGCTATATTTGACCGTGACGGATAACAGCTTTATGTAACATGTGCAGTAATTTGACTGAATTATTCTCTGAAATTCACTTAAATATTATGTTCAGAAATATGAATAGTTGTTGAAATAAGCAATTTTACTGGTTGAAATGAACATTTTGATGTATGAAAATTCATATAATCGCTGTTATATCTGATGAAGTTGGGAACTATATTTCCGTGCGGAGCAATTACTTTGGTGTCCATCATTGGGCAAAATTCAGTATGACATCAACATTGGGTAAACATAGATTTCACAACAAAACTTTAAGTTTCAATTGTCCAATTTTAAATCAATGTTGTGGGATAAATAGAATAATATCTGGTCAGTGTTGTAAAATATAAGCTGTATTTTGGCTTGGAAAAGAAAAACAAATGTGGCTCCCCAGAGTCTCACCACTTTTGTCTTTCTAAAATACAGCTGATTTTTTAAGACACTGACCATGTGTTCTCAATAGAGATGTATTTCACCTGCTGTCTATGACAGAATTAAGCTGAACAATCTAACATTTCAGCTATCGGTTTTGTGTGCTTTATAGTTACCTCCCTTTTGTGTTGTTTGTAATTATCTCCCTTTTTGTGTGGTTTGTGCAGTACATAACCTCCCTTGTGTGTCTGTGTGCTATGGTGTGTGTCAGACCATTGGAATGCTGATTTTTTTTAATCTCTGTGCTGTTTTTCATTAGATGAAAAAAAGTCTCCTTGTGTGATCATGTCTGGTAAATACAGCTTGGTCAGTATTTGTTAAGTAAACTTATCATTATCATACCTTGTTTGGATTTTGCTTCATTCTTCTCCAGTTTCCTTGATGTTAATCCGCTTTGTATTAAAGGATTTTTCATAGGGTATTTAGAATAAAATAGGGAAAAAACCATATCATACATGGTACAAAACCTGGCCAGTGCAAATAAAATTGAAGTACATGTTTCATACACTGATGTGTGGTACATTTAGTAAGTGTCTACTATACAGGTTTGTGGGTAACATGCAGAGGGATACTGCAATAGAACGACTGAAAGGGCTACAAAACGGGACCTTCCTTATACGAGTCAGCGAGAACCCAGGGCGAAAGGGTGAGCTCTCCCTTAGTATCAAGTAAGTACCAACACAAAAATGGTTCCTCAAATTACTTCAGATATTGTTACTACATGAAAAGACACAGATTAACAGGACCAAAGCTTTAATTTTTCATTTTGTTGGATGAATGTGGAATCTTTGCCTCTATCATAAAGATTAAAGCTTTGAAATGATAAATTTTGTGAATAATTTGTTAAAAATTATCTTATAATATTTTAAAGTGAACAAATCGCAAAGCAAAAGATTTATTTCATGGACGGAAAATTGTAATTTGAAAGAACAGAAAAAAAATTGACTCTGAAAATGAATATTACCTAAAACAAATATTGAATTTGGAAGTGCTTAGCTGGACATTTTCTCTTATCTAACTCTAAATCATCATGATGCATCAATTTTCCCCTACTATGCATGGAACATCTAACCACAAGTCATTTTGACATTTCTATAATGTGACTTTTCTGCGACAAACAAAGACATTTTGAAGCTTCTTTGACGTACCTAAGACACTGCGACACCTCTGTTACTTACACAAGACACTGCGACACCTCTGTTACTTACACAAGACACTGTGACACCTCTGTTACTTACACAAGACACTGCGACACCTCTGTTACTTACACAAGATACTGGGACACCTCTGTTACTTACACAAGACACTGGGACACCTCTATGACTTACACAAGACACTGGGACACCTCTGTGACGTACACAAGACACTGGGACACCTCTGTGACTTACACAAGACAATATGACACCTCTTGTACTTACACAAGACACTGACACCGTTGTTACTTACACAAGACAATGTGACACCTCCGTTACTTACACAAGACAACGTGACACCTCTGTTACTTACACAAGACACTGACACCTCTGTTACTTACAGACAATGTGACCCCTCTGTTACTTACACAAGACACTGACACCTCTGTTACTTACAGACAATGTGACCCCTCTGTTACATACACAAGACAATGTGACACCTCTGTTACTTACACAAGACACTGTGACACTCTGTTACTTACACAAGACACTGCGACACCTCTGTTACTCACACAAGACACTGACACCTATGTTACTTACACAAGACAATGTGACACCTCTGTTACTTACACAAGACACTGTGACACCTCTGTGACTTACACAAGACACTTTGACACCTCTGTGACTTACACAAGACACTGTGACATCTCTGTTACTTACACAAGACAAGATGACACCTCTGTTACTTGCACAAGAAAATATGACACCTCTGTTACTTACACAAGACAATGTGACACCTCTGTTTCTTACACAAGACAATGTGACACCTCTGTTTCTTACACAAGACAATGTGACACCTCTGTTACTTACACAAGACAATGTGACACCTCTGTTACATACACAAGACAACATGACACCTCTGTTACTTACACAAGACATTGATTGACACCTCTGTTACTTACACAAGACACTGACACCTCTGTTACTTACACAAGACAATGTGACACCTCTGTTACTTACACAAGACAATATGACACCTCTGTTACTTACACAAGACAATGTGACACCTCTGTTACATACACAAGACAACATGACACCTCTGTTACTTACACAAGACATTGGTTGACACCTCTGTTACTTACACAAGACACTGACACCTCTGTTACTTACACAAGACAATGTGACACCTCTGTTACTTACACGAGACATAAATATCTTTTAAGCTATGTTTATTTCTTTACCCAAAACATATTACAAAACCTTGTATTTTGTGCATCACATGTAACATGTATATGGAATGGTAAAAACCCCTCATCCACCAAGAATTATGCCTTCTTTTGACAATGGCCGATATAGAAGGTCAACACTTGCAACTACTTATTGACTGATGGTGGGTTTAATCTTTCTGCTATGTTTACTGTCTGGTTTGAAGGTTTTAAACATTCTGAACACATACATGATGTAAGAACTTGGAAACTTCCTCACACAAATCTCTTCTGACGTATCTAAAAATGTTCTGACATATCTACTTCATCTTATATTGCTGTAATTGCATTAATAAAGAGTCCCCTCGTTGCATGTCTGCTTGCTCCTATGGATATCTCCTTCTGTTCTTTCTAGATATGATAACCAAGTACGCCATATCCGAGTGGAACGCAATGCAGAAAATTACTTTTTCTTGGCGGATACCAACTTCTTTAAATCCTTGCCTGTGAGTATCTATTTGTGCATCAGGGTGACATGTTACTAATCCCGTTATATTGTCACTTGGAAAAGTCGGGCATCTCAAGGTACAAAATTTTCCCTTTAAGATTTCATCAGGACAAAATACTACTAACCCAGATTCACATTGTCACTGGAAAGCTTCTCAGGTACAAGATGTCCAGTTGAGAATTTAATCTGATGGATTTAACTTTCTTTTATCCCAAAAATCGCTTTGATACGGCTACATGAAAAGTTAAACAGACATACAAAGCCACTTGAAGGTTTTGTGTTATCTTTGGAAAGAAATATAATGATTAAGAAAAATGGATGTAGATTTGATTTGGTTAATTGGTTGATTACCTTGAGGTGTGTGACTTTGTCTAATGGCAATGTGGTTTTCATCCGACAGTCTACCAATTGACCATTGTCTAAGGTATGTTTATTTTTAGAATATCTGATGGGGTCAAGAATATCAAAATCCACAAAGAGGACAGCTACTATTGTCTTAACGTCGATAAATATTTTCATTCTTTAAATGTAAGTATGGTGAAATATGCTTTGTACTTTTATCAAAGTTCTGTGTATCTGAGTTGAGTAAACTGAATACAATATTTGCTATATAATTTCAAAACTTTTCAACCTAGAACCAAGACATTCCAGTGTTAGTGGTGGTGTACATGTAGTTATTGGCACAGGTTGATAGGGTAAAGGCCTGTAGTACACAAGTCATTAGGGTATAGATCAATAGGATAAACATGCCTATAGGGCAAAGGTCAATATCATAAAGGCATTGAGGGCAAAGTTTAATGGGGAAATAGGCCTCAAGGACATCAGTGAATAAGGTAAAGGTCAGTAGGGCAAAGGTCAATATTGTAAAGGCATTGAGGGCAAAGTTTAATAGGGCAAAAGGCCCGTAGAACATCAGTGAATATGGTAAAGGTCAGTAGGGCAAAGGTCAATATTATAAAGGCATTGAGGGCAAAGTTTAATAGGGCAAAAGGCTAGTAGGACATCAGTGAATTAGGTAAAGGTCAGTAGGGCAAAGGTCAATAGGGTAAATGTTCATAGGACAAAATTCTCAAGGAAAGACAGAAAATACAAAGTTTAAAAGGGTAAGGCCTGTATTACACGGGTCAATATAGTAAAGGCTTAGAGGATAGAGTAAAGGTTCATAGGACAAAATTCTCCAGGAAAGACCCAAAGGACAAAGTTTAAAAGGGTAAGGCCTGTATTACATGGGTCAATATAGTAAAGGCTTAGAGGATAGAGTAAAGGTTCATAGGACAAAATTCTCCAGGAAAGACCCAAAGGACAAAGTTTAAAAGGTTGAAGGCCTGTAGGACACGGGTCAATATTGTAAAGGCTTAGAGGATAAAGTTCATCAGAAATAATAGCAAAATTAGGGGTCCAGAAATGGGAGTGTCCCTTCTAACTTTGGTAAAATCATTAACAACTTCTGATTGATCAAAGGCTATCTTATTTGGCCAGTAAAGGTTTCACAAAGGCTTATATACAAATATGTAGAACCTTCCAATGACTTATTAAAGGAATATATTTGGCTGGGAATTTTCTTAGCACAATTTGGAATAAATTATAAAGACCTTTCACAGTGATGTCACACTGTTCAAAGACATAGATTAGGCCAAGCCCCCGGGATGTCTGAGAAAAACATGAGCAAGAGCTTCATTTTGATTTAAGATTCTTCATAATAATAGCATCAATAAATAAGAAATTCTAAGTTGATCCCATTTGCTATGCGGTGTTTATAGGCCTACAGTAAACTGTTATCGGTATATCTCCAGTAACTATATCTCCAGTGCTTTATATTATTGACTTGTGCAAGTCTTAAATATGTTGTATCTGTGTTTGTAAACAATGATCTAAAAGGCAAGTAAGCTTCTGCTGTCCTGGGTCATCCATCCAGCTATAACTAAGAGTTTTTCCACTACATTGGCCATCTTCTTTCCTTGATTTGAAAGAAAGCTATCAATTATATTTAACTGGAAACATCATAAGAAAGTCTCAGTTCAACATTGCACAGATGAGGGGGCTGACTACTAAGGGACAGAACCCATATGGAGTAATTTGTCATATATCTTTAAGCATCTACTGTGAAACATATGCACAGATATAGTACTGTTGGTCATAAAGATCCAGGTGAGCGATACAGGCCCTCTGGACCTCTTGTTAATGAATTGAGCTATGTTTTCCATTTAGCTTGGTGTTGAGTTTTTTGTTTCTCAAGTATTTAAGTTGCCATAACCAAACCTTGAATATATAAATTATAATTAATGTAATGATCATCTATTTCAGATTCTGAATTTCACCCATTAATTGTCATATGTTGAAGTTTTCTGTTTAGATTTACATCAAACTTGTTTCTTTTTATATACATATTTGTTTAATTCTGATTATATGGAGAATTGGGACTTGTGAGATATTTGATAAAATGTAATTCTTGTATGCCATTTGAACATACAAGTATGTTCTGAAATGTAATATATACTAGACTGTATGGGAGATTTACTAGACTATAAAGGAGATATATTAGACTGTATGGGAGATTTACTAAATTATATGAGAGATGTTCCAAATTGTATGGGAGAATATAAAGGAGATATACAAGACTGTATGGGAGATAAACTAAACTATATGGGAGATATACTGAATTGTATGGGGGATTCAATGAACTAATTATACAAGGGATTCAATGAACTGTATACTAGATTTAATTAACTATATTTCTCAATTTTATTTATTTTAAACCTCACTTTTATTACTTATCAATGTAACAAATATTGTATAAACTTGAATTTCAAATTCTGTTGTCAGAGCCACATTTTTGTCTGTTAATTGCGAGCAGATCATTGATTCATCATTGTAATATAGACCTACAACAGTGTTCATCACTAACCCAGGCAGGAGCATTGGACACAAGTTTATATAATAGTTTTGGGGTTAAAATTAAGATATTTCAGTTGGTGCATGGAGAGGGTTGAAATGAGTTGGTCTTATAAAGAGCTCATTCTGTTAGATCTGCTTGATTAGGCTTTAATTTGATGCATGTTTTACACACAGGATATGGTGGAGACTGTATCAGCACAACTAGACTATAAAGGAGATATACCTGGTGTTGATACAACTCTTGTTTTTCCTTTCAAGACACTATAGGTGGTGCTGAGAGGACCAGGTAATTGTAATGGTCATTTCTATAAAGGAGATGCTGCAAACCTTCTGGAAGGATTTTTTTCAAACTATTCAGAATTAATTATGGCATGGTTAATTGGGATAAACTAGTGTAAAGATATACAAGACTGATAAGGTGTAAACACTAAGGTATAACCTGAGAGATGTTACCAAAGGTGTAAACATTCAAGTTGTACCTGATAAGGTGATAAACATTCAACTTTTACCTGATCAGGTGTTACTCAGTAAGGTGTAAACTATAAAGGAGATATACAAGACTGTATGGGAGATTTACTAAACTATTCAAGTTGTACCTGATAAGGTGTAAACATTCAACTTTTACCTGATCAGGTGTTACTCAGTAAGGTGTAAACATTCAAGGTTTACCTGAACTATATAAGATGCCAAAATTTCACCTGATGTAAACACTCAAGGTTAACTATAAAGGTGATAAACACCAAAGTTGTTTTATGTAAACTATAGAAAGATGTTCCAAATTGTATGAAAGTTTTAACATAAAGGAGATATACAAGATTGTTACTTGTAAGCTTTTAACTACATGAGAGATGTTCCAAATTGTATGGGAGATTTACTAGACTATAAAGGAGATATCAACTTTTCTATTTGAATGAAACTATATGAGAGAGTGAAATTGTATAATATTTGACTATAAAGGAGATATGCTTTTGTGAAGATCTACAAATGCCACAGTGATGATATTAGCTGAAACTTTAAAATTACTAAACTATAATGAGAGATGTTCCAAATTGTATGGTCATTTGGCTAGTACTATAAAGGAGATAGCAACAAAATGTGGGAAAAGAAATTACCTAGACTATATGAAAGGAGATATACAAGGGTTAGAATTTGTTAAAACTTATATGAGAGATTTTTTCTGATACTAGACTATAAAGGAGAAAGACTGTATGGGAGATTTACTAGACTATAAAGGAGATATACAAGATATATAAACTATATGAGAGATGTTCCAAATTGTATGGGAGATTTACTAGACTATAAAGGAGATATACAAGACTGTATGGGAGATTTACTAAACTATATGAGAGATGTTCCAAATTGTATGGGAGATTTACTAGACTATAAAGGAGATATACAAGACTGTATGGGAGATTTACTAAACTATATGAGAGATGTTCCAAATTGTATGGGAGATTTACTAGACTATATGAGATTTATATTAGAATATAAAGGAGATATACAAGACTGTATGGGAGATAAACTAAACTATATGTAAGATTTACTCAACTATATGGGAGATATACTGAATTGTAAGGGGGATTCAATGAACTAATTATACAAGGGATTCAATTAACTATATACTAGATTTAATTATCTATATTTCACAATTTCATTTATTTTAAACCTCACTTTTATTAATTATCAATGTAACAAATATTGCATAAACTTAATTTCAAATTCTGTTGTCAGAGCCACATTTTTGTCTGTTAGTTCCGATGAGATCATTGATTCATCATTGTAATATAGACCTACAACAGTGTTCATCACTAACCCAGGCAGGAGCATTGGACACAAGTTTATATAATAGTTTTGGGGTTAAAATTAAGATATTTTAGTTGGTGCATGGAGAGGGTTGAAATGAGTTGGTCTTATAAAGAGCTCATTCTGTTAGGTCTGCTTGTTTAGGCTTTAATATGATGCATGTTTTACACACAGGACTTGGTGGAGTATTATCAGCACAACTCGCTCAAGGACAGCTTCCCTGGTGTTGATACAACTCTTGTTTTTCCTTTCAAGACACAGATAGGTGGTGCTACAGGACCAGGTAATTGTAATAGTCATTTCTCATGCTGCAAACCTTCTGGAAGGATTTTTTTTCAAAATTCAGAATTAATTATGGCATGGTTAATTGGGATAAACTAGTGTAAACATTCAAGTTGTACCTGATAAGGTGTAAACATTCAACTTTTACCTGATCAGGTGTTACTCAGTAAGGTGTAAACATTCAAGTTGTACCTGATAAGGTGTAAACATTCAACTTTTACCTGATCAGGTGTTACTCAGTAAGGTGTAAACATTCAAGGTTTACCTGATCAGATATAAATGCCAAAATTTCACCTGATGTAAACACTCAAGGTTAACCTGATCAGGTGTAAACACCAAAGTTGTGTTATGTAAACTCAAAAAAATGAAACGATGAAAGTTTTAACATCAGTTACTCAGAGTTATTGTTACTTGTAAGCTTTTAGCTCACATGGCTCCAGACATGTCTCGGTGGAGCCTCCATCAGTCATTCGTCTGTCCATCCAGCATCAACTTTTCTATTTGAATGAATTTTTCTCCATTATGAACAAGTGAAATTTCATAATATTTGGTTGGAAGGTTGCTTTTGTGAAGTTCTACAAATGCCACAGGGATGCAAGTAGCTGAAACTTACAAATTACTTATACTGATAACTGAAAGGTGAAGAAGTATGGTCATTTGGCTAGTAGGTTTCAAGGACAAAGCTTGACAAAATGTGGGAAAAGAAATTACCTTGACTTATATGAAAGGTCATCGGGTTAGAATTTGTTAAAACTTTTAAACAATTTTTTCTGATTAATGGAAATATCTAGAAGCATGATATATATTTGGCAGGTAGATCTCTTGGATGAAGCCTGACAAAGTTTGTAAAAAGAAATGACCTTGAATCATATTCAAAAGATCAGAAATCCAAGAAGTGGAATATCTGGTGAAATGGTTTTTCTAGGTCAAAGCCTGGCAGATTTTGAGAGAAAATAAGAAGTGACAAGTACCTTTAATTCAGGTCATAACTACATCTGTTTAGAGTGGAGTGTAAGAAGCTCAAGTTTGTTATGGAAATAGGGTAATATTGATTTGATGCTGCCGACTTCTAATGTCAGTGGTGCACTTGTTTGCTATGATCATACATTGTATTTCCTGTGAACATTGAATACCAGGTGAGTGGTACAGGCACATTAGGCCTCTTGCTATTGTTAATATTATGGTAATTTTTATTTTGTGTCTTGTTTATTACAGGGCCGCGTTGCCTTGGTTATGCAGAGGCAGTATATGATTATGCTGCTACCGCTACTACACAGCTGTCTCTGTGTCGTGGGGACAGAGTGGCCATATACAGCAAAACAGGAAGTGACAAAGGCTGGTGGAAAGGAGAGCACTGTTCCTCACACAAAGTAAGTAACAAGGGAGATGATACTCGCACAAAATAAGTAACAAGGGAGATCATACTCACACAAAATAAGTAACATTGGAGATCATACTCACACAAAGTAAGTAACAAGGGAGATCATACTCACACAAAGTAAGTAACAAGGGAGATCATACTCACACAAAGTAAGTAACAAGGGAGATCATACTCACACAAAGTAGATAACAAGGGAGATTATACTCACACAAAGTATGTAACAAGGGAGACCATACTCACACAAAGTAAGTAACAAGGGAGATCATACTCGCACAAAGTAAGTAACAAGGGAGATCATACTCACACAAAGTAAGTAACAAGGGAGATCATACTCACACAAAGTAAGTAACAAGGGAGATCATACTCACACAAAGTAAGTAACAAGGGAGATCATACTCACACAAAGTAAGTAACAAGGGAGATCATACTCACACAAAGTAAGTAACAAGGGAGATCATACTCACACAATGTAAGTAACAAAGGAGTAAATTCTCACCCTCCGTAAGAAATGTTAACTCATGTGTTTTATAGTGAACGGAGTTGGAAAAACACAAGTTGTATTATTGCTGTTTATGATTTTAAATATCCTTCAGTGAAAGAAAAGTGCACACAGGAGTGATCAATTATGGACAGGTGGCTATATGTTACAGCAAACTGATATACATTTGATTTCTTTATTCTAGGTTGGTTACTTCCCACTGGCATATGTTAGAGAAGAGGAGGAGGAATGATGGCAATTTGACCTTGATAACTGACCTCCAATGGTCTCAAGAAATGAAGCACCCCCTGCTGTTGAAATGAAAAATCTGTTATTCAGGGGAGACAATCAGTGGGAATATTCAAACTGCCCATGTAATGGGTCATCTGCTTATGTATTGTGTGAATATTGGATTAATATCCCATAATTTATAATATTCATCTTAGGTAACCACCTAAATATCTGTGTTTATGGATAATGTCTGGAGGTTACCACAGCTCAAAGCTATGTAAACTCATGTGTTTTACAATGTACATATGCAGACATTCTCACCTGTGACTACATTTGGAAATGTGGGACATCATCCATATAGTTTGTGATCTGATTGACACACTCCTGACAGGCTGTGACGTATGACAGTAAAAACAATATGTGACATAACACAGATTATGTGTCTATGTAGAGATTATGCGGGACACAGTACAGTGTTTTTGTGACAATGATACACAGAGCATTATGAAATGTAAAACAGATTTTGTGAAGTAATGCCCGGAGCATTCTGACAAGTCACAATGATTGTGTTAAATGGCACTGGGACAGTGTGATATTCATGTGTCCACAACTGATGGCAATAACAGATACAAGCTGAACTTTTCATGTGAGGAAGTTGTTAAGCATTGACTGTATTCATGTGTGAACTAATATGCTAATATCCAATAATGCTAGCCTGCAGATATATTCCAGCATCACGTCTCCGACTCACCCAATCAGTCTTGTTTCCCCCCGTTTCTCATTGCACCTGGTATTCAGGATGCTGTGGTGAGGAAGTGTTTTATGCCAGTAGATATATATGCGAGTAGTAACCGGGAAATCTACTACTCATTCAGTAATCGGGAAGGAATGTTATTCCTTTCGCAGAGTACCACGACAGTTATACAGTGTCATATGTGTACATAAACTTAATAAGGACATGTGATGCGACAGAATATCTCAATACTTTCTCTGGTGCTTAGTATTGGATTTCTGTTGGACTATATACAGAATATAAGACATAAACTTTTTTGAATACTTAACAGAGTAACCATTATTTAAGATTTACATTGAACCATTTCCAGAGATTTTGTAAATATGACCATTACAAAATGCCCTTTCCCTAAACCCAAGTCACAAACCAGTGAATGTTGTGAGGATGGGTGTTGTCGACAGTGCTAAATAGTGCTGACATATCACAAATGTGCTATATATATAGATATTTGTTATTATATATATATATAAAAAGTGTGTGGACAATGTATATATATTTCCTGACATAACTGGTCCTTCATATACTAGATATAAAATCCACAGTTATCGATCTGAACTATCATTCATTAGATATACAAAGTTTTGCAAGCATAATCCTAAAGGATAGATGGTATCACTTTTCAGGTATTTGACCCTTGGGGTCATGACCAAGGCCATTGAATTTCATCCATTGTCTTACACTCTCTGCTGTGTTTAGACAGTTGAATGAATTTGAACAAATCTAGCAAGAATAATCCTTATGGTTTACAAATTTTGACTTTCTTTTAAAAAAATGATGCATTGCTGCAGAAAAACCACTGCTAAGTGATATTGTGTGTAAATATCTTGACTAGATGGTAAAGAATGAATGAATTAATTTAAAATTGAATTGATATGAGTAAAGGTTTTAACTTATATATCTCACCTTTATTAGAAAGACAGCTCTAACCCCCATCCCCCCACCCCCACCCCCTCTTACTTAATACTCATCTGAGATAACCACTTAACATCTGTAGATGTACTTAGTGAGCTGGTACACTGGTGCAGTGTCAATGGTTCACCTGTTCAGTGTCAACATTTTTCTCTCTAAAATTCCTGTCAATAATCCATAGGGCAAGTAGCATGTTTAGCAAGAGTGAGGAGTTTTGAAGTTTGTGCAAATGAATGACCTATATCCACTTCCATAGTCACAAGGATCAAATTTGTTTATATTTCTTAATATCGAAAAGGCCCACTTGCATGATACTTGGCCAGTAGCATGCTTTGGTGGTGGGTTAAAACTTGATTCAAATGAATGACCTTGACCCATTTTTATGGTCATGGGACAAATGTGTCAAATCTTCAAAACAGGTTACCACTACAGGCCCATTGAGCCTCTTGTTACTTGTTTGTCACAATATTTACGATATGGACATACATAATTATTCACATGGAACAGACCAGATATATAAAGATGTAAACACAAAGTCAAATTTTTACATATGTTTAGGATAAATTTGATAATGATAGGTAACATGATTTTGAATATGATTATGTCTTGCATAAATAAAACAATGAAAATTTTGATAATAAATATATATTTGCCTGACTGCTATCATTGGTCAGAAAGATCCCTTTTATCATTATAGGACATTTATATACAGAAATAATGGACAAATATTGACTTTTTAACCTTCTGCAATTCCATCAGTTTTTTATGTAAGCACTTTCATTCTGATAGTAAATTTTTAATGCTGAATCGTTTTGAATTTTGATTGGCAATGTAAGCTTTGCAGGACAATGACTATTTAAGCCATATAGATTTTAAACCATGTTCAGGACTGTTATTATAACAGATATGTTGTAAGGATGTATAATACACATGATCTACCAGTATAACAAAAAAACCTATCATGTATTTGGTTTTTCACTGATCGTGATATGTCGGTATACTGGTTCACCATGTATAATATTACATACTGCTTAAAACCTGTTCATAGTGAACCTCTTAAAAAACCATTGAACTAGCAACAAAATGAGATTATTAATTTCTATATGTGACTTAAGACAGAAAAATGCTAGTTTTCAGTGATGAATGAGAAACCATTCCCAGGGGAAGTGAAAATCACTTCAGCCCGGAGTTCACTACAGCTATTGTTTACTATTACATTGTATTATACAGCGTAATACATTGTTCTCTATTATTATAATAAATACAATCTTCAAATACAATTATGGTTTGGTTTTGTATTACAGACTAAATATTGTTATATTGTATTGATATTGTTATTATTTGTAAGTCATATTTATACAGTGAATAAAACTTACATATATACTTACAATATATCACAAACAATCTGTTCAATACATCACATCTATTACATATAATATCAAACACATTTATATACCTCGAATACACTGGAATACTCTAATGCTGGCCAGTCCCATTATCAGATGGATCCACCTTCCTCAGATGTTTTGGCGTTTTCCATGACATGCTCCAGAGGTGTGTCGGCTTGTTTGATCAGGCCCAACCAAGAACTGGTCAGTTTTTCGCCACTGCATGTTGTTACCGCCTGGTGGCCAAGATGTTCTTGCACCCTGTTTGCTAAACCTGCATCATTACGGACAGTGATGCCTGTCTTTCTCCCTCTAGCAATGTGTCTGTTGAGTGCTTTCCTCAACTTAAAGTAGACATAAGGCACTCCAAACGACAATCCTTAGAACCCCCTGTAGCCAACTTCCATAGGCAGACACCACACTCTCCATTCCTGTTGTTGACACTCATCACCAACTGCTGATGCTTCTGTTGTTTCTGTTCATTTGCCTCAGGGGCTCCAACCTCCTTGTTGACTTATATGAGCAGTCCTCGCTTGCCTAGCCTCCTTCTCCTTGGCTTTCCTTCCTTTTCTTGTCTCTACACTTTCTCCTGTACAATATTACACATTTATACAAAGTGCAAGGTCTATACAATGTATCACATTTTAACAGTGGAAATGAAATATATCAAATCTAAAGGAGATATATAGATAAGGTCTGTGTACCTGTATGGAAATATATAGACCAGGTCTGTGTACCTGTATGGAGATATATAGACCTGGTCTGTGTACCTGTATGGAGATATATAGACCTGGTCTGTGTACCTGTATGGAAATATATAGACCTGGTCTGTGTACCTGTAATGATATATAAAGACCTGGTCTGTGTACCTGTATGGAAATATATAGACCTGGTCTGTGTACCTGTAATGATATATAAAGACCTGGTCTGTGTACCTGTATGGAAATATATAGACCTGGTCTGTGTACCTGTAATGATATATAAAGACCTGGTCTGTGTACCTGTAATGAGATATATAGAACTGGTCTGTGTACCTGTATTGAGATATATTGACCAGGTCTGTGTACCTGTATGGAGATATTTAGACCAGGTTTGTGTACCTGTAATGATATATAAAGACCTGGTCTGTGTACCTGTAATGAGATATATAGACCAGGTCTGTGTACCTGTATGGAGATATATAGACCAGGTCTGTGTACCTGTATGGAGATATATAGACCAGGTCTGTGTACCTGTATGGAGATATATAGACCAGGTCTGTGTACCTGTATGGAGATATTTAGACCAGGTTTGTGTACCTGTAATGAGATATATAGACCAGGTCTATGTACCTGTATGGAGATTTATAGACCAGGTCTGTGTACATGTAATGAGATATATAGACCTGGTCTGTGTACCTGTAATGTGATATATAGACCAGGTCTGTGTACCTGTATGGAGATATATAGACCAGGTCTGTGTACCTGTATGGAGACATATAGACCAGGTCTGTGTACTTGTATGGAGATATATAGACCTGGTCTGTGTTCCTGTATGGAGATATATAGACCTGGTCTGTGTACCTGTAATGAGATATATAGGCCTGGTCTGTGTACCAGTAATGATATATATAGACCTGGTCTGTGTACCTGCATGGAGATATATAGACCTGGTCTGTGTACCTGTATTGGGATATATAGACCTGGTCTGTGTACTTGTATGGAGACATATAGACCAGGTCTGTGTACTTGTATGGAGATATATAGACCTGGTCTATGTTCCTGTATGGAGATATATAGACCTGGTCTGTGTACCTGTATTGGGATATATAGACCTGGTCTGTGTACCTGTATAGAGATATATAGACCTGGTCTGTGTACCTGTATGGAGATATTTAGACCAGGTTTGTGTACCTGTATGGAGATATATAGACCAGGTCTGTGTACCTGTATGGAGATATATAGACCAGGTCTGTGTACCAGTATTGGGATATATAGACCTGGTCTGTGTACCTGTATCGAGATATATAGATCAGGTCTGTGTACCTGTATGGAGATATATAGACCTGGTCTGTGTACCTGTATGGAGATATATAGACCAGGTCTGTGTACCAGTATGGGGATATATAGACCTGGTCTGTAATGTGATATATAGACCAGGTCTATGTGCCTGTATGGAGATATATAGAACTGGTCTGTGTACTTGTATGGAGATATATAGACCAGGTCTATGTACCTGTATGTAGATATATAGACCTGGTCTGTGTACCTGTATTGAGATATATAGACCAAGTCTGTGTACCTGTATGGAGATATATTGACCAAGTCTGTGTACCTGTATGTAGATATATAGACCTGGTCTGTGTACCTGTATTGAGATATATAGACCAAGTCTGTGTACCTGTATGGAGATATATAGACTAGGTCTGTGTACCTGTATGGAGATATATAGACCAGGTCTGTGTACCTGTATGGAGATATATAGACCAGGTCTATGTACCTGTATGGAGATATATAGAACTGGTCTGTGTACCTGTATGGAGATATATAGACCAGGTCTATGTACCTGTATGTAGATATATAGACTAGGTCTGTGTACCTGTAATGTGATATATAGACCAGGTCTATGTACCTGTATGGAGATATATAGAACTGGTCTGTGTACCTGTATTGAGATATATTGACCAGGTCTGTGTACCTGTAATGAGATATATAGACCAGGTCTGTGTACCTGTAATGAGATATATAGACCGGGTCTATGTACCTGTATGTAGATATATAGACCTGGTCTGTGTACCTGTATTGAGATATATAGACCAAGTCTGTGTACCTGTATGGAGATATATAGACTAGGTCTGTGTACCTGTATGGAGATATATAGACCAGGTCTGTGTACCTGTATGGAGATATATAGACCAGGTCTATGTACCTGTATGTAGATATATAGACCTGGTCTGTGTACCTGTATTGAGATATATTGACCAAGTCTGTGTACCTGTATGGAGATATATAGACTAGGTCTGTGTACCTGTAATGTGATATATAGACCAGGTCTATGTACCTGTATGGAGATATATAGAACTGGTCTGTGTACCTGTATTGAGATATATTGACCAAGTCTGTGTACCTGTATGGAGATATATAGACCTGGTCTGTGTACCTGTATGGAGATATATAGACCAGGTCTGTGTACCTGTATAGAGATATATAGACCTGGTCTGTGTACCTGTATGAAGATATATAGACTAGGTCTGTGTACCTGTAATGATATATATAGACCTGGTCTGTGTACCTGTATGGAGATATTGAACCTGGTCTGTGTACCTGTATCGAGATATATAGACCAGGTCTGTGTACTTGTATGGAGATGTATAGACCAGGTCTGTGTACCTGTATGGAGATATTATAGACCAGGTCTGTGTACCTGTAATGAGATATATAGACCAGGTCTGTGTACCTGTAATGAGATATATAGACCGGGTCTGTGTACCTGTATGGAGATATATAGACCAGGTCTGTGTACCTGTATGGGGATATATAGACCTGGTCTGTGTACCTGTATGGATATATGTAGACCTGGTCTGTGTTCCTGTATGGAGATATGTAGACCAGGTCTGTGTGCCTGTATGGAGATATATAGACCAGGTCTGTGTACCTGTAATGAGATATATAGATTTGGTCTGTGTACCTGTAATGAGATATATAGACCTGGTCTGTATACCTGTATGGAGATATATAGACCAGGTCTGTGTACCTGTAAGGCGATATACAGACAGTATATTACCAATTACACACAGACCAGACCTATACTTGAGCAGTAGTGTTGTGAACCTACCAGTGAGAAGGTAAGTGGATATATATCTACAACTCGTGGAGCACCTGAATAAACACACACAATACACTAGAAAGGAGAGTTGATATAGAAAGCAGAGAAAAAGTTTGATAGACATCAGGAACCTAACACCGACTGTATCAGGTGTCGTTGTCGGATCTGGGGAGGCAGTCCCGACAATCTACGATGTGTTTCACTTGATAACCCGAATTACATATATATATTTATCGCTAAAAAGATGTTTCATTGATATATAAAATTCTGATGGAGATATGGTTATCGTTCCTGTTGTAGCCTGATTTGTAGGATATTTTCCATCATCTGTTTCTGATCCTTGCTTTCACATGGTTTCCCGAAAGGAGGTTTACGTTTTTCTGATATTAAGCCTTTTACTACCACACCAAATATGGGCTTCCTTGGAAAACAACGACAGGGAAACGGTAAGCGGTCATTCATAACCAGATTATTGTTTTCTTGTTTAATTAATGTTTGATTAAGCTGTCTGTTGTTATATTTTTAGTTTTGCAATAGAGGTTACAGTTCATAGAGGTTATAGTTCATGGTGTTGATAACTCTTTATATTAGAACGAGAAAGTTTATATTATATTTATTTATCAATTCGTCCCCCCTGAAAGGTCCGGACATACACTAAACAGACTGTCGGAGTATCGCCCCGGAAGGTCGGGACATAGACCAAACAGATTGTCCGAATATCATCCTGGAAGGTCGCGACTTTGACTAAACAGACTGTCGGAGTATCATCCTGGAAGGTCGGGATCTGGACTAAACAGATTGTCCGGATATCACCCTTGAAGGTCGGGACATACGCTAAACAGATTGTCCGGATATCACCCTGGAAGGTCGGGACATACACTAAACAGATTGTCCGAGTATCACCCTTGAAGGTCGGGACATACGCTAAACAGATTGTCCTAGTATCACCCTGGAAGTTCAGGACATACACTTAACAGATTGTCCGAGTATCACCCTGGAAGGTCAGGACATACACTAAACAGATTGTCCGAGTATCACCCTGGAAGGTCGGGACATACATTGAACAGATTGTCCGGATATCACCCTGGAAGGTCGGAACATACACTAAACAGATTGTCCGGATATCACCCCGGAAGGTCGGGACATACACTAAACAGATTGTCCGGATATCACCCTGGAAGGTCGGGACATACACCAAACAGATTGTCCGAGTATCACCCTGGAAGGTCGGGACATACACTAAACAGATTGTCCGAATATCACCCTGGAAGGTTGGGACATACACTAAACAGATTGTCCGAGTATCACCCTGGAGGGTCGAGACCTTGACTAAACAGACTGTCGGAGTATCATCCTGGAAGGTCGGGGCATAGACTAAACATATTGTCCGAGTATCACCCTGGAAGGTCGGAACATACACTAAACATATTGTCCGAGTATCACCCTGGAAGGTTGGGACATACACTTAACAGATTGTCCGAGTATCACCCTGGAAGGTCGGGACATACACTAAACAGATTGTCCGAGTATCACCCTGGAAGGTCAGTACATACACCAAACATATTGTCCGAGTATCACCCTGGAAGGTCGGGACATACACTAAACAGATTGTCCGGATATCACCCTGGAAGGTCGGAACATACACTAAACAGATTGTCTGAGTATCACCCTGGAAGGTCGGGATCTGGACTAAAGAGATTGTCTGAGTATCACCCTGGAAGGTCGGGATCTGGACTAAACAGGTTGTCCGAGTATCACCGTGAAAGGTGTGACTAGTTTCACGCTAGGATGGTACTGACATAGTTTATTTACAACACGTTACAGCCGTGACAGTACATACACAATTCTGCACTCTCGTGCTCCTTGTTTCCCGGTGGTCCTTTATCATCCTCGAGGTCTCGTGCAGCCGTAGAATCTTATTATCCTGTTAGGGTGTCGCATTTAATGTCACGTACACTGTTATACCTGATACTGTGTCTCCTCGGCCTGCGTCACCTCCACCGAGGTTGTATTCTCTGTCCTGGTTATCGTCGATCTGGGTCCATTCTGGTCATAATAGTGGTGTTTTTCACATCATAATAGATTTTGTGTTTAGAAATAATTAATCAATGAAATTTGGATTTACTTTTAAAGTAACATTACATGAATTTGCTGATACATTCTAAACGAGAGTCATTATCGAGGTCACCATGTACAAACAGTTTTGTTGCAGAGGTTCAAACAGCCGGGGTGTGACCCCTGGGAGGTTAATGGGGACAGCAAAACGGCAGCAAAAGCATCCTGATGCAAAGCATTACATAATGTTTAAAAATTGTTGTATTGTATTACAGTATTGTATTGTAGTATTGTATTATAGTATTGTATTTTTTATTGTATTTTTGTATTGTATTATAGTATTGTATTGCTGTATTGCATTATAGAATTTTATTGTTGTATTATAGTATTGTATTGTTGTATAGTATTATAGTATTGTATTTTTTATTGTATTTTTGTATTGTATTGTATTATAGAATTGTATTGTTGTATTGTATTTTTGTATTGTATTGTAGTATTGTATTTTTGTATTTTTGTATTGTATTGTAGTATTGTATTTTTGTATTGTATTGTTGTATTGTATTATAGAATTGTATTATTATATTGTTGTATTGTAGATTTGAATTGTATTGTATTAATTACAAACACAATCGCATGCAGTTCCGTCCTCGTGATTTTGAGGAATTGCCGGTCTCTGGGTTATCATTCTTGCATAAACAATTGCCATTTTATTTCCCCTTTAATGACTGTCACGACTACTCGTAATGTCGGGGTCCTTTGGTCCGTATGTTTTTAACATGACCATGATAAGAATACTGTGATGACATCTATTTTCACCCGTGACAACAATGTGTAAACTAGACAGGCAGTACACGATATCAACTTACCACAATTTGATGACAAAGTAGATCTGTATAACGTGTGATAACTGGGTAATTGTGAGTCAGGCGTTTTGTGTAGAAATAGTTGCTTAACTTTCATTTTCCATGTACGCAGCTATGATACCAGACATTTTCATTTCTTCTCCAGTTTTATTTCTTATCATGTAACTACGTGTACTTTATGTTTAGCTGGTATATAATAAGTGTAATGTAATCTACTGACCAAAATTTATATGGCAGGTATGCAGTCATTAGTCACAATCTTATCTTATTCTCATAGTCTGGCCTTATTTCTCCATCTTTTGAGATTTTCGTCCGCTGAAAGGCAGAACTGCCGTAATAGTGTACGTAAAACCCTTTATTTTTATTTTAGATTTTTCATCGTGTCTGTATATTTTTGTTATGGTAGAAATGTTATATATTACAACACTGTGTAAACAACATCTACTGTTATACAAACCTCTCTTACGCCACATTTTTTAAAAACGACGTCACTCTGATCGTTTGTAAGACTTGACGTTTGATATCGGGGCATTGCGACCTTGACTTTTATTAGAGGACATCCATTTTTAAGAGCGATATTGATCTGCCAATATTGACTAAATATATGAGATAAGGGTTCAGCATTCATATTGTGAGATAAACAGATATTGAATCTCTCTGACACCGACTTTCTATTTCAAAGTAGTGGTTTTATGTTACATTGTGCGACCTTGACCTTTGTTGAGAACGCATGGTATTTTTATATTGCAGCAATATGACCTTGACTTCCGGTGGAGCGCGTGGAATGAGTTCTCGCCATGTTCTCGTTCATGTGGTGTTGGAGTGAAACATCGCTATCGGACTTGCTACAGATTCGGGTAGGTCTCGGCCCACATTGGTAACAAAAACGACTAACAATATCTAATTAATTATAATTTATTTATTGGTTAAACAAAGAATATCGACGAGAGAACATTTTGATATAACTTGTAGATAGGTTATTATACTTGTAATTCCTGCAAAAAATAGTGGGTTTTTTTTTTTACCGAATCACTAAGAATCGCGAAATACTTGGTTATGAATCCCTGAATGGTTCAAGTACACTACAATACTTTGATCCTCTAAAATACATGATAAATCATGTAAATTTTGGAATATTTTCTTCATGTTGGTCGATTCCTTACCATCTCGTACACTACGTACATCAGTGCTAGTACGCTCCACGCTGATAATTTGTCTGATGAAGGTGACCGTGTTGTCGAAAGGCCCCGCTCTAATCTTCTACTGGTTGTGTTATGAGAACTTCTATTCTTAATCCACACTGTATCAAGCGACACTATTCGCCCTGTGGCATTAAACTGATTTCAACCCTTAACTTCTATCACCGTTCCTTACGTATCACTCTGTCCTTTTTGTTTCAACATTAAAGACAATGTCTCGAAACAAATTTGAAGCTGACACCCAGATATTTTATTTTTGTGATAATCAAGATATTGTTACTACAAATGAATACCAATCAAGCCCATCGGATTCTTATCAAACCATTATATAGTCCATGAGCCAGCAAATGTGGTCAGCACCATCTAAGTTGAATAATTTTAATTTTCGGCGATATTCTTGTAGGTATACAACCCCAGAATTGGAAATCACATAAATTATATAACATTACTCTATTGGTTGTAGTTTTGTATGTGGTATTGACCTACTTGTATGCCTACCCTATTTAGACGGCTTCGAAAAATGGTTAACGTATCATATTATAAGAGGGGGTGGGGACTAGCCGTTCAGTAAATAGTTCGTTGAGCTATTGGGATTTATTTTTAACACAACATGCTTTGCCTTCTGGGGTGCCATTTGCCGACAAAAGTAAGGGAGTAGTCTGTTTCATCTGTTGTCGTCACAAAGACACACCAGGCTGCACTGATGGGGTGTCGTCCCAAACTATGAGTAAGGTATGTTAGTGATATATTGGAAGAAGTCAAGGAAGGTGAAGTAGACATATTTATCATCTTAATTTCGGTGATAACAGAAGCTCCATAAAAATATATATCGGAAAAAGAAACAGATTCCCCAATGGGACCATCAAATTAAAACGTGTGCTCGAAGAAAGCACACACAGACTGTTCCTGATACCATCCATTGTACCGGAAGTTGGGAGTGGAACGCCCCCTCTTGGACAGGAAGACAAAAAATGAGAAGTTTCACATTAAACAGCCTCACCAATCACAGGCTGATACGCTCCGCATGAAGGTTACAAAGGAGCGACACCCAACTTCAAAACCATTAAAATACGCAGTTGTGCGGGTTCGAGGTCCGTTTGATGTACATCAAAGGATCAAACTAGTATTTTCGTCTTGTCGAAAAGGTGCCGCACATGGAACCTTAAAAAAATTGTCACGACATATTCCAGGGGTGCAGAGAGCGAATTGATAACAGCCCCTGGAGTATTGATGATGAGTTCTGCGTTATTTTACTGCAAATTTCACCATTGATGTTGTATTATGAAATGCTTTTACACAGGCGACATCCGACTCCAGTGCAAAGCGAGTTGTGCCGCGGGGCAGACGAACAGCACCATACTTGTAACGTCAAGGTAAGCCAGAACTCGGTAATGGTGTGAATATTGGAGTGAAAAAAATGCGTTGAAGAATTCGGAAGAATATGACAATATGGAATTTTATAAGAAAATTTGCAATAAAAAATGCACATGCTGTTAACTAAATACATCTATTACAAATTTGCTTTATCAAACAGAATTGCTTGGAAGGATCACTGGACTTCAGAGGTCTCCAATGCGCTTTCTTTAATGGACTGAGTCACAATAACCGTAAGCACTCGTGGAAGCCGTTCATAACAGGTAAATGACCCCTTTCGACATTTGAGCATCAGTAATGGACCACGATTGCTTGTCCTTTCCTAGTAACCTAGTAACAAGTTCGTGATTTTCGGACATTATCACGGTAAAACTCGAAAAGATCCCCATTTAGAATTCCTTAGATTTGGACACCGTATTTTAAGAAGTTTTGAAAAGGAATATTCTAATGGTATCTGTAAAATTTAGAAATGCTAGTTCACGAGTACCGTATAAGGGACATAACTCTTCCTGTACTATTAGATTCCGTTGCAAAATTCAGTTCATGCTGTGGATGTTATGACTTTCCATAATTTCCAAATGCTACTGACATATCTGTTGAATGAGGCACATATCCCTAAACACACTGTCTCCCAGAAACTGGGATATAGGATAAATATGTAGAATCTCTTTGAACCTCTATTTTGATAATGTTTTATGTATTGTAAAATATACACTATTGTCTGGATCTGAACCAGGTCGCTTGTCTCCGGCATCACAACGACGACTTCACCCCTGTTCACTCGTCTGTTCAGCTCTAGATGTGGTCGGACTGATCGTCAAGTTTACGTCACAGGTTATTGATGGGACGAGCTGTTCCCTTGACAACACCCCTAAAGTGTGTGTCAAAGGTCAATGTGAGGTACAAACATATGTTATTTCAACAGAGCAATGTTTTTAATGGAAATTTTTATCATCATCATTAACAGAAATGTTTGATTTTACAAGGAATGTAGTATATTTGAAAGCAGATCGATGGAGTCTCTTCCCGTCTGCTATACAGTTTGGTTTAAAAGAAATTTGTTCTCAGAGTGACAAAAATGGTACTGGATGTTCGTCCTCTGTAAATTCTGTTCATAGCACTTCTAAAAGTAAAACCAGTAAGAATATAACTTTTCATTTCAATTGTGTGTGTATTACAAGAACTGTATGCAAATCCTTTCAAGTACAACAGTAAAAAGATGTTTGATGTTTCATATGTAATAAATATGTTATATATGTCGGACAATCAAAGGACCGTTGCTTTCGATGGCACAAATTTAATTTACATTTCCAACTCAGTGGGTCAATATTTCGTCACTACATTCCCTACCTACTGTTCTTAGACACTTGGATGTGACCACCAACTTGGTTCCAGCGCCACCTACGATAGATGTGGGGTTTGTAATGGTGACGGCAGTTCCTGTGATGTCATTTCCGGTTCCATCTCTCAGGGGCTTTATTCAGGTAACAACGAGAAAGAAAAGTCCTAAATAATTTACCATATTTGACAGTGAAATAAAGGTATTCATCAATTAGATAAAAAAAACTTGCCTCATCATGGTATCACTTTTCCAGTGACGAAATATCTTTAAACTGCATTGAAATTCACCTATTTCCTGTTCGGACGCGAACGAATAGGTCGGTTTACCATCAATTTATTTCCGTATACAATTTCAGTTTTCACTAATTTGATATTTAGAAAAAGAGTTTTTACCAGATAACAGCATAAATCTGTAGATTACCATGTAAAGCGGTCAGTTATAAATGACATCGTCTTGCCCAACATAACATCAAAGAAACGTGCTAATATTTTTCAGCATGGTTTTAAATCACGTTTGGATAGGTATTTTTCTATTTGTCATTTAATTAAAATTTGTTAAAAAGAAAATTTAATTATTTAAAGTTAAAATGACACAAATATATCTATTTTTGCTAGACAGAATATGTCTCGTGCTTCGTACCCGTTAAAACAGGTATTCTGTAATACGCTTGAAATATATACGATATTAAACGGGAAACCATGATATACTCTCTATATAGTAATGGATTACAGTACACACTAGACCAAACTGTATCGGACGGTTGTTCCGTCCTGGGGCAAAAACTCTGGAATTCCAAATCAGGGGTTAGTGAAATTGGAGCCAACTTAAACGCTGATATAAAGAAAAGGGAGTTAATATCTTATTATCAATCTAATCCTTAAAAATGTTTCAGTTTTCACGATACCCCCGGAGATGTCGCCAAAACCCTTTGTTAGGCTGTGTACTTCATGCGTATCAAGAGTGTGCATTTCTTTTGTTTTGTTTGTTTGTTTCGTTTTTTTTTTTTTTTTTTTTCATGGTTCATCTCCATCTTGTTAATATATTTTCTGTGACAGTGTAAGCACCTGTTAATCTCTTATATAGATCTAATATGTTCAATGGCGTCTGTGTAAATTTACATTTTTTTTACCTGTATATTTTTTTATTTGATTACTAGTAAACAAAATATTAATAGTAACACATTCATTAACAAACAGTAAAAATTTGGCATTCTGTCAGAAGTTTTGAACTGTATCTCCGCACGGAGTAATTATTCACAGCTCGAAGTCAACGTAGGTAAGCCAAGTATAAAACATGAAAATTTGAAAGGTGTTGCTGGATAAATCGAACACAAGGTCAATGACTTCAGGCCAATTTCTGGGTTTGGGTGGCGCAGTGATAATGCACTCGCCTTTCATCTAGACTTTAAAAGGCATGGGATCACTTGCCGGATCACGTGTGTTTTCCCTAGTTACCCCGGTTACCTCCCACAGTTAGACTCCTTCCGCTTCCATCCGGGCCAGTTACAGTGATTAATGTCATTGGACAAAAACTTGCTTTGCACGTTATTTAATTAAATAAAGTTTTTTTTTTAAGAGGGAGAGGAAACTTGACAATTTTGTCTCTCATTTCCCTCGTCGATATCTTAAACCACTGAATATGCACTCCCTAGTTGTGTTTTTGGATAAAAGGTATAAAGTTACATGTATCGATGTTTTAGGTTATAGGACTTTGCTGGAGATAGAAGCTGGTTCCCGGAACATTCACATACGACAGACATCAGGTCCAGAAACTACCGTCGGTAAGTCAATTTTTATCAATAGCATGGCCTGATGCGTAGGTATTGACAGTAACATAACTGTAACATTGGTGGGCTCTATCAACTCTCTGTGAACAGGAGAGCGTGCAAGAAGGACAACTCCAGCGACACTGAAGCGTTTGCCCGAAATAGACGCTTCATTCTGTTTCAACTGTTTGCCTTGAACAGAACACCTCATCAAGCCCGAAAGGTACAGCTTATTCGATGTTTGCCGGAAATAAACTGCACTGCTCACTTTCACCGGAAAAACAATTCCACAGTCGATTAAATAGGAATTAATGAATTTAATTGCACGGTCGAGATAACACGGGCATTTTGTAGACGAGATGACGAGGAAAATCGATTCAATTGCAAAAATAATAGGAAAATCCACTTCAGCTTTGAGGTTGAAGAAACTCGGTTTTACAATGGAGACCATTAGTAATAAGAACCGTACGGTAGACACAATGGGATTATCAACTCTAGCATCTGGATGGAAACGTTCATCGTTAACTGATGTATGGAAGTAGGTTTATGTCCAGCCTATGGCGCCTTGTTTTTGATATGTATCGTTTTTTAGATGAAATTGAAATCTTGATATCTTTATATACTATGAAGATACATTTGAAACAACATTTGTTTGTGTATAAAGTTCCACTCTGATTTGATTTTATTTGGTGATATACAACAAAATGGCAATGTCTTATCAAATCAAACTGAATACTGTTTGAGCAAAGTCCTGTGTTATTTTACCAATACATCGATATTTCAGGTACAATGTTTCGAAACGTTTCTGAGAATAACGATTAACAACATACCCCACAATGTCGTGGTATAGAAGCAAAATTACCACACCAGGAAAAGCAAATTGGAGCTCTTAATGGTACCAGGTCCTGTGAACTCTCTCTATTTATTGCTAGCCAGAATCCCCGACTAGAATATCCATGTCCTCTTACCACATATTCGAAACCGCTCCCCTGACTGTTGGAAACTTCGTCCCCAAGTCCCTTGACTGTGATTGGGATTGGTAATAAGTTTTCCCTGACTGGAGGTCATGGCCCCTAAATGGAAACAGGCCCCCTTGAAGCCATTTTCACGAGGCAATATGATGAACAAAACATTAAAAATGATTATGGACAAAACCATTCCAGTTATCTCCATCAATCTTCATCTTTCCGAGTACATGTGCGGTATGGAAATAACGGTGCGAACCAGTGTTATCAATGTTAATAGCGGTCGGTGGGAAACCAGTACCTTACAATCAAGAAATGGGAAGTTAACTGTAAAAAAAATCGGCAATGTATTTATATGATAGAATGTCATTTAAACATTACCTTCAGAAGTTTTATTTTGAAATCACTAATCTCGATTGATCTACCAGGCCTCTGCATTGCTGTTGTCCTCATCAACTCTCTGTCGGTGTTATGTTGGCAAATCTTTATATGTAAATTGCAATTTCAGAGTTTCGCTCGGATATCGGTAAATTAGTCTTCACGTAAAAATGAATTCAGAACGAAGCGTTGTGAAAGTGTCACGAATACGTCTGATAAATGTTTTGTAGCATCGAGACGTTACGGCAGCGTTTATAATAGGAGGTCCGGAAAACTTTCACATAAAAGCTTTTAACAACTTAACAACAACTTTTCATAGTCAGATCAAAACACAATGTCGTTGTAAACATCGTGTGCTCACTGGGATAGGCAAGACTGTGTTGACTGTTTGTTCTCATATATTTCACATGTGACCTTGTGGTTGCTAGGGATGGGATAATTTACACAGGGTATGGAAGGACAGCTGCCACGCGCTATGACGCTACTGGTAATAGGGTAGAGTCACCATTCTGTATATCGTTACCATGTGGCGACTTTCTAATGTTATGAATTTCGGTGCACATTTCATGGGAAATTGATGATGGTGCTGTGAATAAGTTTATTTAATTTGTATTTCAAGGTACTAGTCACTAGTTTGTTTTTTGTACAATTTTCACAACAACTTACAAGCTTGTACTGTTTTTTTTAAAGTATGTGAGCAAAGTAATGAAACCCAGTCGATTTATTTACAATTTGTCTACTGGTTATTGATATGGTCATCAATTCGAAATTATTCTTTGCAGCGATGTGACGTCTCATATTTATATTTGTCAACATTCCGAACAGATGTGGCTACCATGTGCCTTCTGTTTTATTTCATATTTTCCATCACCCGAACAGCAGAAAAATAAAAAGTATGAATGCATATTCATCTACTAGAACATATTTGGTGACGGTATGACTTCCGGTGTACATATTATCAGCAAATGTGCTAGATTTGGACACGGTACGACTTCAGGCGTGCATATTATCAGCAAATGTGCTAGATTTGGTGACGGTATGACTTCCGGCGTACATTTTGTCATCAAATATGCTATATTTGATGACATAATGACTTCCGGCGTACATATTGTCATCTAATGTGATAGATTTGGTGACGGTGTGACTTCCGGCGTACATTTAGTCATCGAACGTGTTAGATTTGGTGACGATGTGACTTCCGGCGCACATTTTGTCATCAAATATGCTAGATTTGATGACATAATGACTTCCGGCGTACATATTGTCATCTATTGTGATAGATTTGGTGACGGTGTGACTTCCGGCGTACATTTAGTCATCGAACGTGTTAGATTTGGTGACGATGTGACTTCCGGCGCACATTTTGTCATCAAATGTGTTAGATTTGGTGACGGTGTGACTTCCGGCGTACATATTGTCATTAAATGTGTTCGATTTGATGACGGTGTGACTTCCGGTGTACATTAAGTCATTAAATGTGTTAGATTTTGTGACGGTGCGACTTTCATCGTACAGTGTGTGTGAATTCTCTTGTAAAAACGGCAGAATTGAGGATGGATTTTTTATGTTCAAGGGATACCGAACATTTCAATTAATATTTTCAGTAAATTTTAACAGATGTGGGGAGAGCTTACAATTTTTTCATAGTTGGCGACAACTATCAGGATCTATTTTGAGAAATTCTCATGTTTTCCAACGTGTGCCTGAAGTCATGGAGTATTTATACTTGAAAATGGTAATGAATTTTGGAGAAACCAAGATATACAATTTTTACCTTCAGTCAGTTGGGTAATTCTAAACTCATGATTGTCCCACACGGTTGTATTTGTATGTTCCTTAAATTTGTTTATATTTTACTATTGTTAAATCTATTTCGAATTTAAATTTTGATATTGTTAATATTTCGGTATTCTCTTGTTGTTCACGAAGCAAACAAAATGTCCTTGTTGCCAGCTTGTTGAAATTGCACGAGTTTAGTATGATACAGCAACTGTGACCGTTATTGACCACCAAACCTACCACTGTACAATTCCCTAGAACGTGAAACAGATAATATAATAATGTAATCCCAGTAGGTTTACCGTGTAGGACGATCAATGGCCTGTCCACTGGTCCTGATTGTCAGGTGTCTACAGATAAGGAAGTCTGATGCTTACAACACCACATCGATTTTATTGTTTACACGAACACATGGACGGCTCTTGTTAAACAGGCTATGTACGAACACAGCTGACAAACAACAGCACCATACGCACTTGGCATGCTCTACACGTGCATGTTACACGTGCAAAAGGCGCACAATAATACACTATACATTTACACAACAAAACAAAAGGTTGTCCTTTTAAGTACAGATAAATAACTTCTTTGATCTACAACTACAAAACATAACACCGTCTGTAAACATGTTGATATATATGACAATTTTGACATCGCGAGGCTTACAATGGATATACAGAACGAAACAATATGACAAAGTTCCCGTCTCTATGTAAATCCTACTCATTTACATATATCGCTATGAAAAAACAGCGGTATGTGCCTACGGTTCACCTGAATAAACATTAGAATTATACCTTACAATATTGTATAGGGACAACATTTACTGGCGGTTAAAACACGTCAAACGAATGTGTGTAAACAGTTCTCGATCTATACAATTGTGAAAGAACAGGGATAATACACAATCCTGTCCAGTGCCCCGACCAGGAATCGAACCCAGGTCTCCGGTGTAAAAATCGACTGACTCTAACAGCTGAGTGACAGAGACCGTATTACCACTCTTTTTACACAGTAAGGGAACATTCTGCGCCTAAATTATTACAGACTTTGCAATAGAGATGTTTAAATTTATTCAATTCGACATTATTCTTAAGACCATTTAATCAGTGACCATACAAATTCTTCCAACATAATATTTTTAAGCTCTTCTTAAAGTTCATTTTTTAAAGTCCAACGATTCTATAACAAATGTCCTGTTTGGAAAAATTACTATCGATATCAATGTGACATGGCTTTTTATATTATCAAGTCATTGTCACTGTTGTTGATAAATCTGACGTACCGCCAACCTCTAGTGAAATATCTGTAAATCTATTGAAACTGTGTAATGATATCACACTAGATGTTATTGCTGTCAATATGTAAGGAATAATGTGGTATACCATCTGATATGATTATATCATGAAACACGACAATGAAATGTTAAATGTCACTGAAATGTTGTATTTCTGCTTTGGTAGGGTGACAGACCCGATACAAAGCGCTATCAGTCAACACAATCATGTAGGACAAAATTACATTGGTAACATGATCAAAACAATTGCAGCTTCGTAAAAAAATCCAGCCTTAAAATCAAGAATACCTTGACCGCGATATTTTAGTGTATGAGGTGACATACATTAAGTAGTAGGGCTATGAGATTACTAACTCGTTATAATATATATTACACATAACATACAATAATCATTAAAAATAGTAAACATCAGCAAACCTCATCCTCTCTCCTTATTAATGATGTACCACTGTCTGGATACTCTTTGTATACATATATATCGAATTTCGACTACCAAAGTTATCGAGACCAATTTACTGGCAGTCAGGAGTAAAAATATTACTGAAGAGACAAATTGACAATTTGAATCGTTAACGAAATTCTACGAAATGAAAATGCCAAAATTAACATATCACTACCCGGGCATACTCTGAAGGTTTTTTAATGGAAAAGGCGGAGAAAATGTGAAAACATGGAACGACTACAATATATCAAGTTTTCAGTGTATCTTTTTTACCGAGTTTTCAAATATCAACGAGAATAACGAAAATTAGAAAACTTGAGAAAAGTCCCCTTAACAATTATCGATACAGGTATAGGTTATGTTATATACTGACATACTCCTTAACACAAATTTAGGTACAATTTATGTTCCTGTCGCTAAGTGATATGTTAGAGGAAAAGAGAGACGGCCCTAACATGACGTCATATTCCCTGATTAAAAGAAGATGTAAATCAAAAACAGTATACTTATATCCAATTAAATTGCACTGGTCTTTTTCTCTAATTTAAACTGAAACCCGTTTTATCCAGAAACCGATATTTGAAGTATTGGTCCCTCGTGATATTGGTTTCGGTGCCTTACGCTGAGTGTTTGTTTGTAACGTTTTTATCAAGATACCTCATAAGTCTTAATTATTTCCGATATTCGTAATAAATTAAAACTGAATTTATTCAAAAATAATTTTTTTTTTAATTTTCAATGACATTTGTCAAATGCTTCAGCGTGTAAATTTTTCTAGGCCGTGTTGAAACCAGTTTTCAAACATCATCATACAAATGTGGTTTTTTTTATCGAACATAGAAACAGACAAATTACATACAATTATGAAACATTTTCGTCGCTTTGGTTGGTACTTATATTGATAAATTTTCATATACAACCAGTTAAGATTTATTTTTTTTAATATTACTGGTTGTGATATATGGTGATCTATTCAGTCATTACCAGTAACGCTGTTTATAACATGATGAATGTCAAACCCGTTGATCCACGATGAAACCTTTTCAACCCGTTCTTAACACTTTATTATGTTTGAAATACTAAAATCGTCACCCTCCCGTACCTTGATAATCCTCGAGATTCAGGTCTGAAATGCGTATTTTCGTAAACCACATGTCTCCACTTAATTCATTAGAATAGAGGGAAATAAACACAATCACTTGGCATCATTTTGAAATTATCTGATGTACATCTATAGAAAAATTACGAAATTGAATGAATCATGGGGCTAGTGCACCTCCATGTCTAGATTTTGACACCTTCGTTTAATCAATTTTTGTTTGTCTCAGTCGCCTTCTAGGTTTCAAAATTTAAGCCCTCAGCATCACTGAAGAGTGTTTTGAAGGACGGAACAGTTATGATACAATTCAAAACATAAATACAGATCTACTGGAACTAAATTCTTTCTTTGTTTTGTTAGTATCTATTTACTTGTGTACAATCTTTTTTACACTAAAACATGTGTATTATTGGTTGTCCTTCCTTTAAGGGAACTGTATTTGTGGTGAGGTTTAAGGACAATTAATCATAGATAACTATGATTGTGATAGTATTTGGACAGAATATGGCTTATATTCTACCGAAAGACCAGTTATAAACAGTACAGGTGTCTATAAGGAGACGAGGACGGGGTTTTACAAACCTAAGGTATAACTTGTTAACCATCATATATTTGTATTCCCTGGGTAGCCTAGAAATGTCATTAATCAATTTTAAATGAAATAAGAATGAAGAGACGTGAAACAGGTCAAAGACAGCGGTCAATGAAATTCGGGGAAATCCGTTAATTGATAAAAGGTATTCTAGAAATGCGATGTCTAGCTGATACTCAGTCAGATCGACCGATAACAAAGTTTAAATACTGCAGAAAAGATGTCGAATTTTCTTAAACACTCGTTATCCAGATATGTACCTAAGATATAAAACACGTGTAGTTGTGGGTTTTACCTCGGCGTGTACCCCCTATCCCCCCACTCTATCTCTAAACACACCGAATTTTGATATTGTTCAGTCTTGTTATAGGCAGATATATTAGTGATATAAGTAATTCTGATATGATGTCTAAAAAACAAGAATATATACTTAAAATATGTACATTAAAACTTGCATTGATCAACAATCCCCTATCAACCATTAGCTCTGCTCTAACATTTAGAACCGACAAGTGTTGAGACTAGTCGGAAACCTGACAAACGCTCACGAACTTCATCTGTTATTTAAGTATATTTGTCCCTTCCGTACGTCACGCTTTCCATCCGTTTGTTTGGTCTGTTTGTCCCCTCCGTACATTCGTTCTCTCTACTCGTTTGTTTAGTCTAATTTTCTACTAATAGTCTACTTGTCCCTCCGTACATTCACTTACTCCATCTGTGTGTTTGGTCTACTTGTCCCCTCCGTTCATTCAATTACTCAACCCGTGTGTTTGGTCATTTTATCCCCTCCGTTCATTCACTTACTCCATCTGTGTTTTGCCTACTTGTCCCTCCGTTTATTCACTTACAAAACCCGTGTTTGGTCTACTTGTCCCCTCCGTAAATTCATTTACTACACCCGTGTGTTTGGCCTACTTGTCCCCTCCGTACATTCACTTACTACAACCGTGTGTTTGGCCTACTTATCCCCTCCGTACATTCACTTACTCCATCTGTGTGTTTGGTCTACCTGTTCCTCCGTGCATTCATTTACTCCATCCATGTGTTTGGCCTACGTGTCCCCTCCGTCCATTCACTCACTCCACCCGTCTGTTTGGTCGGTTTGTCCCCTCCGTACATTCCTTACTCAACTCTTGTTTGGTCTATTTGTCCCCTCCGAACAATCCTTACTCAACCCGTGTTTGGTCTATTTGTCCCCTCCGTACATTCCTTACTCAACCCGTGTGTTTGGTCTATTTGTCCCATCTGTACATTCCTTACTCAACTCGTGTTTGGTCTCCTTGTCCCCTCCGTCCAGTCACTTACTCTACCCGTCTGTTTGGTCTATTTGTTCCCTCCGTACATTCCTTACTCAGCCCGTGTTTGGTCTATTTGTCCCCTTCGTACATTCCTTACTCTACCCGTGTGTTTGGTCTACTTGTCCCCTCCGTCCAGTCACTTACTCCACCCGTGTGTTTGGTCTACTTGTCCCCTCCGTTCATTCAATTACTCAACCCGTGTGTTTGGTCATTTTATCCACTCCGTTCATTCACTTACTCCATCTGTGTTTGGCTTACTTGTCCATCCGTTTATTCACTTACAAAACCCGTGTTTGGTCTACTTGTCCCCTCCGTACATTCATTTACTACACCCGAGTTTGGCCTACTTGTCCCCTCCGTACATTCACTTACTACAACCGTGTGTTTGGCCTACTTATCCCCTCCGTACATTCACTTACTCCATCTGTGTGTTTGGTCTACTTGTTCCTCCGTGCATTCATTTACTCCATCCATGTGTTTGGCCTACGTGTCCCCTCCGTCCATTCACTCACTCCACCCGTCTGTTTGGTCGGTTTGTCCCCTCTGTACATTCCTTACTCAACTCTTGTTTGGTCTATTTGTCCCCTCCGTACATTCCTTACTCAACCCGTGTTTGGTCTATTTGTCCCCTCCGTACATTCCTTACTCAACCCGTGTGTTTGGTCTATTTGTCCCATCCGTACATTCCTTACTCAACTCGTGTTTGGTCTATTTGTCCCCTCTATACATTCCTTACTCAACCCGTGTTCGGTCTCCTTGTCCCCTCCGTCCATTCACTTAATCCATCCGTCTGTTTGGTCTATTTGTCCCCTTCGTACCTTCCTTACTCTACCCGTCTGTTTGGTCTACTTGTCCCCTCCGTCCAGTCACTTACTCCACCCGTGTGTTTGGTCTACTTGTCCCCTCCGTACATTCTTTCTCTCCACTCGTTTACTTATTCTATTTGTCTCCTCAGTACATTCACTCTATCCACTGGCTTTAGTGCTTTTTGTTCCCTATGCACATTTATGCTATCACACGTTCATTAATTGCATTGATTTTATAGTTATTCACGTCAAAGTCACAACGTTTAAAACACAGCAACATGTCAGCATCGCTTTTACGGCATTGATTACTCCCGTCGCTAGAGAACAGTACAGACAATGGCCGTTTAGTGCATTTCGTGTTCGCATTTACAAGTCATTGTTTACAAGTAGCTCCGTACTGTGCTCCGGCTCAACTGGGGGTTTTCTGAATCCTAACGTAGCATGTACCTTATGCAAGATAGGGTTCATTTCAGAGGCAAGCGTCTCCCTGACTTCGACAACGAGAAGCCACAGGAAAGGCGTCAACGCAGACGTGCTGGTGGATACCATAAATATTACGACTGAGGTTCTTTGGCCAGGAAGACAAGAGTAATCACGACATGTCACGTATATAAATAGCAGCACGATGTATGGAAACCAAAATATAATGGTAACCATACCAGCCAATAATGAAGCAATGGTAGACATGCGCAAACTCTTTCTCTCTGATTCAGTGGTGTTCGTGTTGAGGCGTTCCCAGGCGGTGTTCTTGATGACATAGATACACATCATGGCAATAATGAGGAGGATAAGCACACTTGATGGTAGGATGTACATAACTGTAACCGACGGGATGAAGAAAGACGATTCTAGAACGTAGCTACAGAAACTACCATAATGCACCATCGTCTCATACCGGATGCTTTCTTCTCCAACGATCAGTACTGGTAGACAAATAAACAGCAGGAATGCCCAGGGGAATACGGTCACCAGGATCGACAATATCTTCACGGTCTCGGTTCCGATTGAGGTTATAGTCTCCACCTTAGCAAGAATTCTCTCTGAGCATATACTGACCAGAATCATTGCCGACAGGCTGAAATGACTTATATCCATGACAGACCAAACCTTACAGACAACAATGCCGTGATTCCATGTCAGCGCATCCGTATACTCTAACCTAACCGGAAGCACAAACAAACCCACCACCAAGTCCGAAATGGCGAGACTGATGATATTCCAGAAGAAAGGTTTCGACCTAAGACTTCGACTGGTCAGGATGATTAGAAGAAGAACTAGGTTGAAGACAACAGTTAATGCACATATGATGACAGCTATCCCAAACATATGTTTTCGGAGAAGTTCTCTATCATCGTCAATCTGTTGACTGCGACTGGCGAGGTATTCTCTTGTTTGGTTGTGGAGATTGACTAAGTACTCGTCGTATGAGTAGTCGCTGTCCATGAAGTTAAGGATGTTGTCACTAAGGTTCCTCTTTCCTACCCTTGTCATGAAGTGATGAAACGCCTCACGAAGGGTAAGATTACCCTGCAATGGAAAATTCACAATTATTACTTGGTCGTGTCACCGGATTGACAGATAGAATTATTTTAAACCTGAAAAAAATTATCGAAATTTAAACAGATATTGAGACACTTGACTAAGGAATGACTTGTAGACTTGGTCTTGGGTAACCGCATCAGCTGTGACCTGTACATAAAGAAAACAAAAGTACATGGTAACCAGGTCAGCTGTGACCTGTACATACAGACAACAAGGGTACATGGGTAACCGGGTCAGCCGTGACCTGTACATACAGACAACAAGGGTACATGGGTAACCGGGTCAGCTGTGACCTGTACATACAGACAACAAGGGTAACCGGGTCAGCTGTGACCTGTACATACAGACAACAAGGGTACATGGGTAACCGGGTCAGCTGTGACCTGTACATATAGACATCAAGGGTACATGAGTAACTGGGTCAGCTGTGACCTGTACATACAGACAACAAGGGTACATGGGCAACTGGGTCAGCTGTGACCTGTACATACAGACAACAAGGGTAACCGGGTCAGTTGTGACCTGTACATACAGACAACAAGGGTACATGGGTAACTGGGTCAGCTGTGACCTGTACATACAGACAACAAGGGTAACCGGGTCAGCTGTGACCTGTACATACAGACAACAAGGGTAACCGGGTCAGTTGTGACCTGTACATACAGACAACAAGGGTACATGGGTAACTGGGTCAGCTGTGACCTGTACATACAGACAACAAGGGTAACCGGGTCAGCTGTGACCTGTACATACAGACAAGGGCTAGTCTGTAATCGAGCCAGTCTTTGTACGTCATACTTGTTTCCAATTAAGCCATACATTATTATGGAGCTTACTGTCCCGGGGTCATGTACTTTTAGCGGTCCCGTATCTGGTTCTTGCGACAGTCTAGCCATAAAACACGTGTAGCCTAATACTCTAACTGTATTACACGCGCAATACCTTGTATTAATCGGAACTTACTTAATAAGTACCTGTAGCCATCAACATGATTTCTAGACAATATTCCAAAGGAAATGATAATTGGGTAGTGCTAAAAAAAAAAAAAAAACAATACAAACCAAGTGTCTGTGTAGCAATGGTTGCAAATGAAATGTGAAATTGTCCCAGATTTCCCCCTCCCCCCTTACGCTGCCCTCTTACGCACTTGACATCCATGAATGAGTTCCAAGTATCCCTGATCTACTTATGTATTCTTATGTCGACATGCATCAGTAGCGTTTAAAACCTATCCTACATATATTGTTACACACATCACCATTACCAGTGTACTTTTAGGGCGTCAGGCGTTTGCTAACCAGAACATTTCTAATAGTAATTAATGTCACAGTCTATCTCCTCCACGTCACGCCTTTATAAATGTTCGATATTATTTAAGGTGCCAAATGATATATTCTTTAAATTTGTAAAACGGGATTTTTTCCCCGAAAAAATGTATTAATAGTATGTGCTGGTATGTACTCTACACATGGGGTTCGCCATCTACTAATCTACATCTGTCACTGTAGGGTTAATCTGTTACGTCACATCGGTGCAATGTGTTGCAAGGATACGGATAATATAGCCCTTGTTCCCCTCCCCTTCTTTCCCCAAAGCTCTGCATCATACAGGTCTCACGTGATGTTATTTTGCCATGTTACATCACGTGCTGCATCTGTGTTTGATATGGTTTCTAGGTAGGTCTAATGAGCATTGTTTATATGGTTACTAAGCACGGTTTACTTAACATTGTTCGTATGGTTATAAGGTATGGTCTACTGAACATTGTATATATGGTTACTAAGCACGGTTTACTGAACATTGTTCGTATGGTTACAAAATATGGTTTACTGAACATATGTTACTAAGTATGGTTACAACATTGTATATATGGTTACTAAGCACGGTTTACTGAACATTGTTCGTATGGTTACAAAATATGGTTTACTGAACATTGTAAGTATGGTTACTAAGTACGGTCTACTGAACATTGTATATATGGTTACTAAGCACGGTTTACTGAACATTGTTCGTATGGTTACAAAATATGGTTTACTGAACATTGTAAGTATGGTTACTAAGTACGGTCTACTGAACATTGTATACATGGTTACTAAGCACGGTTTACTGAACATTATTCGTATGGTTACAAAATATGGTTTACTGAACATTGTAAGTATGGTTACTAAGTACGGTCTACTGAACATTGTATATATGGTTACTAAGCACGGTTTACTGAACATTATGGTTACAAAATATGGTTTACTGAACATTGTAAAGTATGGTTACTAATTGTATACATGGTCTACTGAACATTGTATACATGGTTACTAAGCACGGTTTACTGAACATTATTCGTATGGTTACAAAGTCTGGTCTACTGAACATTGTACGTATGGTTACTAGATACGGTCTAGTTAACATGGTACGTGTACAAATAAATGCTCCGGTGTACACATGGATTCACAAACTGCGCTCTGGTAAACATACTCGAGTTATATTCTTTTAATACATGACACGTGGCCAAATTACATGAATGCATTTCTGCAACATCAGCTGGAAGTCTTTAATAAGGGTAATGTAAAATAGGGCTTTTATCTATAATATTATCGCTGTGGCAGAATGTCTACCTTAAGCATAAAAGGCATTCCTATACCGTTTAAGAAAATTGTATATTTTGACCAGACCTTAACGTTTAGTGTACGTGAAATAGATCTATAACATATCTGATATGATTTCATTGACAAAATAATAAAAGGCCTCAAACATCACCGGCAGCACCAGACACGCTGAGGTTGGTCTAATTGCTATGTACTCTCACTCGGCGCTTACATTGCACATGATTGTTGACCGATATCCGAAGACACAATTGAAACAGATGGCAAATCAACCCCTTACCTACTTTGATGTACCTAATTCAAACATGACCCTGCTCCTAAACCGCAATGCTTATTCAAACTATGCGGACAATGACGTCATCATAATGTCTGCCAATCAGAGCCAATCATACCCCCCAAAATTTAATTTAAAGCAATGCGGACAAGGACGCTATAAAGCGTCCGAGATTACCGAGCCAATCAAGTCATGCCACAACCTAAATACTTTGTCCTACATTCACGGATCTGTGACGTCATCAACAGTGTCTGTGACTCCACAAAGCGTTAAATCTGTGCTAGACTGGCCGTGTGTGGAGACAGATATACCGATAAGACACACGAAATGGATATATGCCGTCATCTAAAAATACTGACACAGTATTATGATTCGGTCATATATCATAAGGTTACGGAAAACCGTGGAATTAAAGATGACCACATGAAATCGACATGTTTTACACTGGTTATGAATGTTGATCCTAATGATAAGCATTAATGCCGCCTCCTTCATGAAAAACAAAAACGCACATGTAATATTTAGTAAAGTCACATATAACAGTTAACAAACAGCAGAATTCCAGACCTTTTCGACATGGATTCTCAACATTCCTGAAACCATAAAATATTGTTATTTCTACTTCTGTGATCTAAATATAGAATTTCTCGCAGTTATTGAATTCTTCTGCTGAGAATCTGTAAGTGGTTGCTGAAATGTTTTCGAAAAGCACCCCCATTCTCGAAATTACTGAATAAAACCTTTGTACGACTATAATTGCCCTTCATTGACGTAATGGAAATATTCAACGACTCGGCGGAATGACAATATGATAAAAACACAGGCGATATAAACACGTGCCGCGTTTATGTCCAACTTTACACACATGGCTAAGCACCCTGGTGAATGAAGAGCTCAAGTACCTCATATTGGTTGATAAATGAATGTTGTTTAAAACATCAACATATTTCAATAATTCTTGTTTTGCACCAAGTGATGTGACCTTCAAAATAAATGGAGAACTTCTGTGCATAACAGGCTATCTTGTTTTCGTTCTAATATTTCAGTGTATAATAATCAGATAATTCAGGCCGCTAGATCTAGCCGTGCCAGCAGGGCTAGAGGCCATTCCACCATGTTAAATATTGACAGCGGTTCTCACACTAAGTGGCAAGTATTTCTTAATTTCATTTGGTTACGGCGTACTCACTTCATTTTTTTTTATATAAAATTAGTTATATAGTTAATGACAAAATGTGACTAAATACAGAATTATCGTCATCCTAATGACGTCATATATGATGATAACGAAATGTGACGAGATACAGAATTATCGACATCCTAATGACGTCACATATGGTGAGTGACCAAATAGGACGAGATCCAGAACTATCGTCATCCTAATTATATATATGGTGAGTGACGAAATGTGACGAGAAAAGAACTATCGTCATCCTAATGACGTCATATATGATGAGTGACGAAATGTGACGAGATACAGAATTATCGTCATCCTAATGACGTCATATATGGTGAGTGACCGAATAGGACGAGATACAGAACTATCGTCATCCTAATGACGTCATATATGGTGAGTGACGAAATGTGACGAGATACAGAACTATCGTCATCCTAATGACATCATAGATGGTGAGTGACGAAATGTGACGAGATACAGAACTATTTTCACTCTAATGACGTCATATATATGAGATGATGAAACAAAAATTCAAGGCGTTGAAATTGGTTTCAGCACTTGTTTCTTCGCCACTCTCTCGCTCCGACCAACAAAGGACAAGAAATCGAACGATAAGGCATTGGGACCAAGGCGCAGGCTTTCTTTAAAGACAAGACATTATTTGAAACCAGCAACATTTTGGCAGCGATTGAGTAATACGCTTTGTTTTGCACATCAAACGCTTTAATATCTACAAAGATGATATATGAAGGGTGTTATGCTTAGGATAAGGTACATATCATCTATAAATAGTAACACATCATTAGGGTCTAAACTATCACGAGATATTGAAGTGTTTTAGCTCCAAGCTATGAAGACAAAAACTGTATTATCTCTTTTGGATATTGGAACCAGAACTTTGGTAGAAGGTGCACAATTACAATATCGATGGCGGTTA